GCCCTGGGCCGTCTGCTGGCCGCTTTGATGTGAGGAGTGTTGTCTGGGCTCCACGCCTCCTCTTTGATTTTTAGGAGCGGTGCGGTGTGCCCAGTCCCATTCGGTGGTTTTTAAGCAAGAACTGTTCTAACCTTTTCCTAAGAACCACTAATTATCTCAGGCAGGAAACCCAAGCCAAGCCATTCTGGCGGTAGGGAAGATTCCCCCTGCTGTGCCGAGCGGGACAGAGACCACATGAAAGGCCCCAGCCTGCTTGCTAAGACCCTGATCCCAGGCCCCAGCGACAGACTGGGCATGGATCTCAGACCCCATCCAGCCACCTGCACTGGGGACAGCACGTGGGAGGGAAACTGGGAGAGGACCCTGATGGCCACTGAGGGCTCCCACTGGAGACACCAGGCCTGTGGGGCCAGCAGAACAACAGCTCTGGTCAGCCCTGTGCTTGAGCCCTGGGGGCAGAGGCCCTGCCAGCCCAACCCAGCCCCACCCTGCGTCTGCCCCACTGTGCCCCTGGCACTGCATGTCCTGCCACTGCCCAGCAACGTCCCCGTAGCTGACCCCTGCCCGGCCTTCTCATTCCTGCTTTGTCCCTTTTCTGGCTGCACCCCAGGTCTCCCCCATCAGTCCACACAAGATCCTCCCACGTGAAAACCACCACAATATCCCCTTTGCAGCGAGATTCCCTGGGGGAGCCGTCCACCCTCCCTGTCTTCAATGCCTCTCCTCTCATTCTTTTAATATCTGGCACATGCAAAACGACACACGTACATGTGTATGTTCCAAAGGTTAATACCATGACCATGAGCCCTGCCCAACCCCACCAGGACAAGAACGTCCCCCGGAACTTGCTCATGGCAGTCAGTTCCTTCCCATCCCATCCCCATTTCCCCAAGAGGTGGCCACTCCCTGGACCATAGGCTTCTGTCTTGTGTTGAAGTAATCTCATCACTGACGTATGCATGCCTGCATGGTACGTTGTTTAAACCTTGTTTTTGAAGATTACATGAATAATACTGTGCCATGTGGAGACTTTCAGAACTTGTTAACCCCACAATATGTTTCTAAGATGTTTCCAGGTAGCTGTTTGCAGCTGGAGTTCATTCATGTTCATGGCCGTGTAATATTCCACTGTCACCAAGCTGCAGTGTACCTGTCATTCTGTTGAGGACGTTTCGGCTGGCAGGTGTGTTGCTAGTACTGATACAGGATCACTCTGCCAACTGTCTTCCAGTGCACATGCGCAGCAGTTTCCCTTGTCAGTGTATCTAGCAGAGAATTACTAAGATATGTCCTATTCAATTGCAACAAATGACACCAAACAATTTTCCAAAGAGGTTGTTTCAGCTTCGTTTGTCTCCAAGGGTAAACATGTAAGTACCAACAATTTAGATGGTCCAACCTCTTCCACTTTGACCATGGAGTGAGTGAAATGTCGTGTTTCAGTTTCATGTTGCATATTTCTAATAACTAGTAAGATGGAGCACCTTTTGACATAGCTATGGAACCTGGTGTTTGCTATGGAACCAACTTTCTATTGCTTTGTCTGTTTCTTCCTAATTTGTAGGTAGTTTTTATGTGGTCTGGATATAAGTTCTTAGCCGTATCAGTTACCAAAATCTTCTCCCAGTGTGTGGCTTGCCTATTAGGTGGCACACAGGTGACCCCAGTGATCCTTACCCTTACACAGTCTCCTCCTGTGAACACGTCACTCCCGGGCTTGGGCTGTGTTAGGTGGCACACAGGACTTTAAGGATGGACAGCTGTCCTGGTGGGTCTGGCCTAATCAGGTGAAACTGTAAATGGCACAGGCTTTTCTTAAAGAGATTCAAAGGGCAAGTGGGAGTCAATGTGAGGCGGCTTCTTTGTTGCTGACTTTGAAGATGGAGGGGACCCTATGGCAAGGAATGTGGGTGGCCTCTAGTCCCTAAGAGCAGCCCCCGGCTGACAGCCAGCAGGAAACAGGGACATCAGCCCTATACCTGCAAGCAACTGCATTTGGCCAACAACCCAAGTGAGTATGGGAGCAAACTCCCCCGGAGCTCCCAGAAGGAACCCAGCCCACTGACACCTCAATTTCTGCTGTGTGACACCCTGAGCGGAGGACCTACCAAGTCGTGCCTGGATGTCTGACCTGCAGCTTGGAGCTAAGAAATGAGGTTGTGATAAGCTACCAAGTATGTGGGGACTTGTTACACAGCAACAGAAAACTACCATAGTCTCTATTTACTTGTATCAACAGTCATGGGCTTTAATGAAGTTTTATAGTTTTCTGTATGTAGGCCTTGAATATCTTCCTTCCATTTATTTTTAGAAACCTTAAGAATTTTTAATCTTAAATATCCTTTAAAAAATGAATATAACTGAATTCTTGAATATAATTTACAAGCGTACTGCTAGTATCTAGAAAAGCAATTGATTCCAGTATATAATCTCATGGCAGGCCAGGTGCGGTGACTCACACCTGTAATCTAAGCACTTTGGGAGGCCAAGGTGGGAGGATCACTTGAGCCTAGGAATTCAAGAATAGCCCGGGCAACACATAGATACCCCATCTCTACAAGAAATGAAAAAATTAGCCAGACCTGGTGGCATGTGCCTGTAGTTACAGCTACTCAGGAGGCCGAGGTAGGAGGACTGCTTGAGCCCACGAGTTGGAGGCTGCAGTGAGCCATGATCACACCACTGCACTCCAGCCCGGGTAACAGAGCAAGACCCTAAAATAAATACATGAATAGGTAATAAAGTAAAAACTTTTTAAATCTTATAGAAAACAACTGTGCTGAATTCTTACTATTCTTAATAATTTTGGCTTTTGTATGTAGACATATTTGAGAAGAAAGCATTACATTTCTTCTACTGCTATTTCTATGTACTTGCATATTTATTGCATCTTAATGAGCCAGGACCCTCAGCAGCATGTAGATTTTGCTGTTCCTGATTGTAAAGGCCCTGACAGTGACAACTTCCATTTGGAAAGCTGTTTGTTGGAGGTTTTGGCAGGAGGGCGTCCACACAAGAGGGGCACACAGTGTGGGAGTCAAAGCCCCAGTCAGATGAGCAGGGCCTGTCTGTGGGGAGTGGGTGGCAGTGATGGGAGGCTGGTGACATGCAGGGAAACTGACCCAATAATAGATTGAATAAGGAGAATAAGAACCATTTCCAGAAAGGGCCTTAGAACTATGGAAAGAGAGAAAGCTGGAACATAACCTGTGGTGCTGGGCTGAAATCAGAGGTACTGGTGTCATTCTCAGCTGTTAATAGATGAGAGAAATGGAAGTACATGCACATATCCTCTAGCTCTGTCCACTAAGAGCTCCCGTGCGCAGCAATCCGCAACAGCCAGGAGCACCCCTCGCACCCACAGCCTGATTCCTGGATGCTGCTCTCCATTCAAAGGAACAGGGCTCCTCAGAGCCGCGGCTCGCTCCAGTCAATGAAAGGGAAAGGGGCAGCCAGGTATAAGACAAGGCTGGAACATCTTTTTGCACCAGAAAGTGAAGAAACAGCTAAAGAACTGTAGGTACATAACAAAGAAACACAAAAGGCAGAGGAAGGAGCTCTCACGGGTCAAACTCTCCGATGAGCCGGAGAGTAAACATCGTAACAGACCACAGCCCTGAATACAAGCAGGGGCCAGGTCCACACAGGTGGGAGCAAGGAAGAAAGGAAAAAGTAAAGGAGTTTGACGGGGATGGGATATTGGCATCGCTTCACACTACCTCCCCACTCATTCATTACAAAGGGTCGTTACTGGGCAGTGGAGAAGCTGACCGGGGCCACCTTCACCAGGCAACAAGAGAGAACACCAGCAGGAGGCTAACTGCATTCGGGCAGCCCCTGCCAGGAGGCAGCGTCCCTCCTGTGACACTCCTAGACGAAATGCAGACCCAGAACCTACCACGAGGAAACCTCACATGAACAACCTGGGAGCCACGGGCTTATCTCCAGAAGTGCCAAGGTCGTACAAGCCCAGGGAGACGGAGCCACCGTCCAGGCGGATTAAGTCACCATGACCACAAAGCCACGTGCGACTCACTCCTGACGCGAATGCGGGTTGGACACCGTCCCAAAGCACAGAGGGTGCAGGGCCAGAACGGCAACCACTCGAGTGATTCAGAAGGAAGCTTCTCTTGACTTGCAACTTTTCCCCAAGCTTGTGGTGGTTTCCATATCGTTATTGTTATTATTCGACATGAGTAAAAAGGAACTCATGACCTTCTCCTCGGACTTGCTCCTCTCCCCAGTCTCAATACCAACCACGCTGTTGTTCGCGTCACCCCCTCCCCAGCCACCCCACAGGGGCTACGGCGTGGGCTCAGCACCTCTAAAGGAAAAGCAGATGAAAGAACTTGTGCCTCCCAGGGGAAAACGCACAGTGCACAGGCAACCCTGGCAGGGCCCATCCCTTCCTGGTCCTGCTGAGCTCGGGCACGGACCGGGCACCAGGCTCCGTGTGCAGTGTGACAGGGAGTGGTGTCCCCCGAGTTGTTTCTGGAAGTTGCTGGGTCCACCTTGCCTTAAAAATAGTCAACCAAATCCCATCCCACCACTAGATGGCACCCAAACCTCAGCAGAAAGGGGGCGTGGGTTGGCCCCTGAGGTGAGAAAACCATTGGTCAGTCTGGACCTGGAGAGCTTCAAGTGGCAACAAGGCTTTCCACACACTGCTCACTTGCCCCACCTCCCCACTCCAGGCCCCCTGCCACACACCTGAGGACACAGGAAACAAGGTCACCATTGGCTTATACATGCCCTTGAGCAAAACAGAAAAGGTGCCCCTCATGGCAGGTAGACGGCGCCCCCCACCCCCAGGATACGCCTCACAGCCACGTGCCCTTGTGCAGTGCACAACCCAAGCAGCTTTACTCAACAACCCCACTCCGGAGAAGCAGGACTAGAATTGTGCTGAAGTTAAGAATGACAATCCCATTCTTCGCAAGACTTACTGATGAAAATAACTGGCAATCAGACCCCTAAAGAAACACACGCAGTCACACTCATGCAAGCCACGAAATAATAAAACACGGTCAAGGTTCTCTCCATGTCAAACCACCAGCATCCCCACCAGAATGCCCCGGAAGTCTGCCGGTTAACCTGTGCGGGCCCTGGTCAGGCCTGTGGTCCCTAACGGCCACCAGCAGCAAAGGCACCCGAAGCTGCAGGGGACAGGGGAGGCCGCTGCTTCTCGCTTTTTTGTCTGTAAGGTCCCTGTGGAGTGGGCGAGCGAATTCTCACTGAAGCAGCTATAAAAGAAAGCGGAGCGCGTGGCGCCTCCCGGAAGCACCAGCAGCTGTTCTGTGGATGGCTGTTGGGCCGCACGCGAAGGACTTGATTCCTGTCTCCAGCTTAGTGGTCTATCAGAGGAAAGGTCTCTTCCTGCTCGGCTGGTCATAGCATGGCCGCCTCTTCCATGATGGGCACCTGTGTAGGCCAGCCTCTCTCTCCTGCCGCCCTGGCTGGGACGGCAGCCCGGATGTCACCTGCACAGCTGCAGGTGCGGGTGCTGGTTCAGCCTCTCCATGAGCTCATCCTCCCTGGGCTCCTCCAGAATATCCCTGTGGAATTGAGGAAAGATGCACACAGGGGCCTCTAAAGGAGGGACACCCCGGTCTGCTCACAAGAACAAGGGAGCAGAGCTTAGCAACACATGCAAAGTGAGTGTCACAGGGACACAGAGACACGGGGACTCAGATGAGCCTCAGGATGGATGCGGGCCCTAGAAATATCTACACAGTATTCTCAAAAGCCCAGGGGGCACATCTTCCCACTGGCTGGCAGGACCACAGGGCTTGGCTGCAGCGACTCAGCAGCCCCTCGTAGAAGGCACAGCCCCACAGCAGGCTGCTTCTGGGTGGTCACCTTTCCGGACTAGTAGAGGAACCATCTCAAAGCTGCCAGGAGAAGAGATGGGTGCGGTTTCCTCAGGTCCCCTGTTTACATCCAACAGAATCCAACGGACCCTGAAGGATGGTGCCTTAAATATGCCCAAGCAGGACAGGACAAAGGATATGACCCCAGTGGCAGGAAGAGGAAGCCTCCCGATTCCAGCTCTGAGCTTCTCCCATGCAGCACAGGACCAAAGCCAGATAACCGGGCTGCGAGGGAGGAGGGCCATCAGGGCCTGCCGGCCACCTTGGCCCCTCCACCCCCCAGCTCTTGGCTTCACACCCCAGGGGGCCACACAGAAGGCCTTCCCCACTCACACACCTGAATGGGAGCTCCACAGTCATCTGGTAGGTGGCCTCCGCGGTCCCAGCAAGTGGCTGCAGGTGGCTCTGGGGGTCCCACTTGTGAAGGAAGTTCTGGCAAGCAGGAGGGAGTGGCCAGTGAGTGTGGGCCCCGAGTGAAAGCAGCCTTGCCCCATCCCCAGCCCCTCCAGGGTCAGCCACAGGGCACCCACTGAGGGGGCTGAGCCGTTCACCCTGGACACCCAGGCACAGGCCTCAGGAGGCTGCTGGCTCCTCCTGGAGCCGACGTCCAAGTCCCTCCTTCAGCCCGACCTGGCGGCCTGAGAATTCCCACAGCCCAGATGTCAGGAGCGTCCCCCAAGGCCCCAGCAGCCAGGGGAGGCAGCACTGAGCCCCACAGGAAGGGCTCAGCCTCACTCAGGACCCGCCTAACCCAGCACAACTCTCCCATCAAAGTTCCAGGCAGGCCTGGCCAGTGGCCTCAGGCCCATCGAGAGTGAATTAGAAACAATGACCACGGAGAACAGCCTGGGTGGGGATCTCTGATACCTCCAGAATCAGGGCCAGAAACAGGTTGACCCAGATGACAGACGACACCAGCCACCACAATACAAAATAGATCTTGGACCACCTGCGGAGGACAGAGGCCCACCCCGTGAACCATGATGAGCAAAGCAAGAGCGCTCGATACAGACACCGCTGCTGTGTGGTCAGGATGGCTCCTAGGCATCCGGTCCACGCACACCATGATACAGAGCGCGCTACTATTTCCACCTCAAAACAACCCAGCCGAGGCCTAGAAATGTGCAACAAGCTGCCGAGGTAGCTCAGCCAGCAGGAGGCAGTGCTGGGATTAAAACCCAGGACCATCGCTGGGGCCAGTCTGAGCTCAAGCTCAGAGCTGAACTATCTCGTTCATTCAGCCTTCCCAGGGCTCCCCCACCCCCGTGGACTTCCTCAGAAGCCCCAAACACACCAATGGCCTCCACGAGGTGTAAACCCAGAGTCACTGGCCACCATCCTGAGAGTCACGATGTGGCTATGCAGGGGGCAGGGGCAAGGCCAGCCAGGATGCCACTCTGGCTGACTTCCCTGTCAAGGCCCGAGTCCCTGTCGCAGCCACGCTCCGGGCATCTAGTGCAGCGTGCCCGGATGCAAGGGAACCCCCAGGCTGCACGGAGAATCACCACCGCCCAGACGGGGACTCACGGGCCCGAGTAGCGCCGATAGGCATCCAGGAGCACCTGCCAGTTGTTCACCACCATCAAGTTCCACAGAGTGACCAGGGCAGCCTGCAGGGGCAGAGACCAGCAGTCCAGGAGGGCCCAGGAGGTGGGGAGGGGAGGAGCCCAGGGAGCAGGGCGCTAGGGCAGGGCGCAGGGCTCACCGCAAAGTCATCGAAGTTGTTGGCCCAGTACTCCAGCTGCTCGAAGCTCCCACAGGGCGCCGAGCCATTGGCAGAGGCCAGGCTGGGGGGTCACAACACACCTGGGTCAGGGGCGGGGGCTCCAGATTCTGAGGCCTGACACCTTACAGCCCCGCCTCTGCCGGTGTGCTCAGCCTGGCCTGAAGGTCCAAACTGGGGTACAGAGGGTCAGGGGGCAGGGAGAGTGCTGCTCTGAGCAGGCCATGAGAAATGTGTTTAGCAGACTCCAGGCAAGGGCTCCTAGCAGAGGCACGGAGCAGAGGTGGAAATCGGAGATCAGGAAAAGAGGGTGGAGGGAGGAGATGAAGGAACTGGGAGAACAGCCTCCCCTCCTGAGACGCTGAGCCCACCAAGGCCACCGCCAAGGCCTCCCACCCACGCTGGCACCCCTGAGACACTCCCCATGGCACCTCAGACCCCACCTCACCTGCTGTTTCCAGGGGGAGCCACGATGACACCTCGAAACAAGCTGATCCCAATGACGGCAAATTCGTAGTAGACCACCTGGGGGCCAGGAGCCAGGGACTGGTCAGCCCCACCCATGGGCGCACCTGCCCCCACCCCTCCCCGCCCTCAGACAGAACCACAAAGCCAGGCTGACGCCTGTGAGGCCAGGACCCTCTGCCCAGAGCTGAGATTCCAGCCTGGCTGCTACTTCAAAACACATGCAGCTGGCCTCCCCCAGGGCTGCCAGGTCCACAGACACAGTGGGGCTCAGGCAGGGGTGGTCACGGAGCTCCTACGGGAATACAGGTACCCTGGCAGCCACAGTTAGGGGACAGGCTGCCGGCCCACCCCAGGCCTATCCCTAATATGCATCAGTAGAGAGCGGAGGGGTACACGCCTGGGCTAACCTGGTCCCCTTTCTGGGCCTCAGTTTCCTCTGCTATGCAAGTTAGGGGGCTGGGCAGACAGCACCTGAGGCAAGATTCTCTTCCCGGCGTCTATTTCCAGAGGCACGAGGCACAGCTGGGGTCCAGCTCAGAGCACCCCGTGGCCCCAGAGACACCTTCTCACACCAGTGGTCTCTATGTCAACGTGGTCAGAATAAAATGACAAAACTGCCTGAAGTGCGGCCGGGCTTCCTGCAGAGGGCGCCTCCTGTCACTCCACACGAAGCAGCTCTGGGGCCTGCCTGGTCACGGGCCCCTCTCCTGCCCAAGCCCGGCCACCAGGCAGAGCAGACGGGCTCCTCAGCTGGAAGGCTGGCCAAGGGGAGGGGCCGGGGCGTCCCACAGTTCTTGCTCAGCAAATGTGGCTGCAAGTCCCTGAAACCCCTCTAAGAAAGGAACCTCGACCAAGTCCTCATCCTAGGGCTTGTGTGGGCTTTGGGGTCCTGGAGGCAAAGCCCTGTGCCTCTTAAATTTCTGTCATTAGTTTCTCAACGAGATCCACAACCCAGAAAACACGAGAGACTCAAAAGTTACCAAAACCCTCTGTGGCATGGGCGGGAAGCATGCCCACGCAGCGCCACCAGCCACACCGCCCTGAGAGCCCTGCTCTGTGAAGAACGGGATGCCTCTGGCTTCTCACCCCGACCCTGTACTCCCCTGGCCTCGGGAACCTGCTGCCGTCCAAACCCAAGAAACTTCCTGCCGACAGAGCAGTGAGCTGGCCCGGCACTGCCTTCCGCCAGCCTCCCAGCCTCCCGCTCCAGTGCATATCCCACCGCCAGCAGCAGCCTGGGACTCACCACCAGGATCCCGCCAAACGCACGCATGTTCTGCACCAGGCCCACGACGGTACTGGCCACCACGGCCATCGGCTGAGGACAGGAAGAGAGCCAGCCCTTACTCCTCCTGGCCCCGCAGGGGGGACACCATCCCGGCCTACCACCCTGACCCTGACGGAAAGGCAAGATGGGGCAGGCCAATGACCACCAACCCACACACACCTGGACCCACAGCCACCCCACACGCCTCTACACACCCACACAGCCTGTCAGGCCCCCACATCCACCCATACACACCCTCGCACCCCAACACCCACATCTACCCACACGCACTCACACACGCTTGCATCGCCCACCCGCACGCACTCACTCACCCACTCCTGCATCCCAACACCTCCAGCCCAGCCTCATTCAAGCACTGACTTCAAGTCCCTGTGGGAAGCCCTTCTCTGCCTCCCAACCCACTGCGGGTGGGTCAGCTACTCTGTGGCCTAGAGGTGCCAAAGCAATGCAGAGGTAGAGGTGGCAGGACCACCCGCAGGAACTGAGTCTGAGAAGGGGCCTCTGAGAACCAGCAGGGAGGCCCCAGCTCCAAAGAGCCGCTCCTCCTCATCACAGGGTAGCCGGGAGAAAGGCTTTCACATCAGCCGCATCAACCCACCTGAGGAATCCAAATTATACAACACAGCTAAACGCCACAGTGGAGACCAGTCAGCATGGATGTGTGCACACGGGCGTGTCATCGTGAGCATGCATATACTCACGTGAGAGGCCCTGGGAAACTGCAACTTCAAGCAAAACGGCGTGATTCCAGGGCCTGCTGTGCGTCATTTCCCTTAAAGTCACAGTTTCCAAGAACCTGTGGGTGGCACTGAGGCCTTACTGTGGATGTGTGCACACATGATCATGCGTCTTATACAGGCACAGGTTCACATGGATATCTGCATGCGATTATCTGTGCACACAGTGATGCGAGGGTGTGTGTATATATGAATGTACGTGTGCATGTGCATGATGTGTATTGTATGATGTGTATTGTGACTGTGTATGATCATGTGTGCCTGCGATTGTGTGTGCATGCGTGTGCATGGTCACGTGTGGTTGTGTGTGAGATTATGTATGCACGGCTGTATTCTATATGTGTATGATTGTGTGTACCTGTATGGTTGTAATTATGTGTGAACACGTGTGCGTGTGTGTGTATGTATGAAGGTCCCAGCACAGCAGCCCCCTAGGAAGGCTCAGGATCCCTGAGCTGCCTTCAAGTGGGACATACTGCCAGGTGGGACAGGTGCACAGCTCAGAGGAAGGATGAACGGGGACAGAGGAGGGACCTGGACACTCGGAAGAGGGGTCTTAGGACATGGAGCCAGGAGCAGCGAGGCCCAGAACCCCCACCTCTGCCTGCCCGCACTTTCAAAGTGCCCACTGCTCCCAACCGGTGCATTAAGAGAAACCAGTGCTCAGAGATGATCATGAGCCACCTGCACCCGCATTAAGGAATCCTGGAAAGGAGCTCTCTGGCCAGAGATACTGCTGCCCTCATTACTAGCACCCTGGGAGCCATGGCAAAGACCTTTCTGGAAACCTCAGAGACCTGGGGGAGCGCTGGTGTCCAGGGCTCCAATCCCAAGGAGCTCCTGCGACTGGCCAAAGCACTGCGCCCTCCACACCCTTGCCCGCCTTGCTCTCCCCACCCAGAAATGCAGGGCTGGGCTATCCTGCTTCTAATGACCCTACCCCAGCATCACAAGAACACAGCAGAGAGCTGAGGGTGCAGTCAGGGAGCCCAGAGTGACGGGCATAGTCCTCGGGCCCTTCCTGCCCCAGGCTCACCCACCCTGGAGCAACGCAGCAGCGGGAACCAGGATGGCGGGGCGAGCGCGGGGGTGGGGCCGGCACGCACCTTCATGCTGGGGATGATGCGCAGGAAGCGGAACACGATGAGCATGTTCAGCATGCGGGTCATGTCCCACAGCGACAGCAAGCCCAGCATCTCCGGCCTCCTGGGGAGAGACACAGGGGGCGAGTTTGGAGGGGCCCAGGAGCCCCACGGGGAGGAGACAAGGAGACGCCTGGGCTCCTGGACAGAGGCGCAGGGAGGGCAACGGCACAGACGAGAGTGCACCCCACGGCCAACCCCAAGCAGAAAAGCCTCCACCGGGCAGTGAGAGGGCGGGGCCTGGGTCACTCACTGCTCTGCTTCCATCTGCAGCCCCGGAGCGACCCCCATTCCCCCAACACCTTCCCACCCGGTCCTCACAGGAAGGCTGCAGCCCTCCTTCTATACAGACCCTCCGTCCACACGGGAGGGCACGGAGGCTCCAGACACTGAACTTGCTCCAGCTCAGGCCCCAGCAGAACTGGGTGAGCCAAGTCTCCTGCCTTGGTTTCCTGCGCTTGGCGGGTCTCGGTCTTTCCATGCTTTCATTTCTATTGAAACTCAAACCCATTCTCATCCAGAGTGTCACCCCCCAAGGTAATGACTTAGACCAAAGTGCAGCTGGCATGCTCAGTGCACGTGAAAGACGAAGCCACGCCAGCCCCATGGCGCAGCACGGTGGCACTGCCTGCCTTCCTGGGGGGCTTCCCAGGGAGGTGACGGAACAGCAGGCCTCTGCTGTTCACCGTGCCCACCCCCTCCAAGCGATTCCCAGCTGCTCCCTAGGCAGGGGGGTGGATAACAAAGCACACACAGACCCAAGGAGCCTGGCCTAACCACAGGGCCGAGGCTGGCACACTGGGCCCTGTGCCCCACCCTTCCTGTCTCATCACGGGCACACCAGAGCCACACTGCCAGGGCAGAGCAGCCCGGCTGATGGCCAGGGCAGAGTCCCTGCCCAGGTTGTCTGTTCATGGCCAGAACCCTGGCAGTGAGGAATCAGCACACTGCATCAGAGTTCAGCGAGCCCCGGGCCCCTGGCTCCACTATTTTAAGGGGGCTAAAGTGACATCTAGAGTGGGAGGCGATGACTCAAGGTCACTCTGTGAGTTGGGGGCTCTCCCAAGGACCTTCCCGCCAGCAGAGGGGCTCAGCCCAACCCCAGTGATCACAGGCCCCCCTGAGACCTGAGCCAGGGGCATCTCCACTGCCAACCCCCAGCATGTGTGCTGGGAGGGGGAGCCCACTGCCACTGTGGAGGGCATCTCCGAGGGGGAACAACGGCTTCCCTCCACAGCCTGCAAGCGCCAGCTTCTGGAGAGAGGACGCCCAGAGCGACGGCAGGGCCCTGCCCCGACACAGCCTCTGCTGAGGGATCGGCCCACCCATTCCACCATCATGGGGTCTGCCCTAGAGTCAGAGCAGACCCGGCGGGCAGGCCTGGCTCCCTGGACACCACTGAGACCCTCCCAGGGGTGCTAGGTGGTGGTGTTGTTTGCTGTAGCCGCCCTCGGTTCTGCCCAGTCACATACCAGCCTGGGCGTGGCAATCGGTACACAGCCAGAGTTGAGATCTCCAAAACCTTTAATTACAAAAGAAAAGAAGGCTTCGCTACAGCAACACTAATCTGGGCAGCCCTTAAAGGAAATATAAAGCTCATCTCTAACACATTCTCCCCAAAAGGGGCTTTTGGGGAGAAACCAGAGCTTGGTCCTGGACCCCGTGGGTTGGCTGCAGATGTCGGGACTCCCTTCAGCTGGAAAGAAACCCTGGCCTCAGGAATCGGGGGACTCAGGAATCGGGGGACTCAGGAATCGGGGGACTCAGGAATCGGGGGACTCAGGAATCGGGGGACTCAGGAATCGGGGACTCAGGAATCGGGGGACTGCACAGATTGGGGGCGGGGATGGCAGAAAACTACTGAGTCAAGGACAGACCGCAGGGCCCTTCTCAAGCTTCTCTTCACCCGCGTGCCGAGGGGCCTGCCAGCTACAGCAAACGTCACTCTGATGTGGCCGCCTGTGACACACACCCCGAGGGTGACATGCCCTCACTCCCACGGGGTCTGGGGAAAGGAAGTGTAAGCATTTCCCGAGAACACCCTGGTGCCTGAGAGCCCCCGGCCCCTCGCTCCACCATGCTGAGGTCACACCGTCTATCAGTGATATTAGAGGCTGTGCCCCAGGCTGGAGTCGCTGGCCAGGGCTACGGGTCCTTCAGGGCCTCCCCTGGGGGTCAGGAGTGGCAGCCTGTCCCCCATGACACTCAAACACAGTAGAAACCCAGCCTCCTAAAGCCCACCGGCTACCCACTGAGCAACTCGGCTGGAAGGGAAGCCAGCCCTCACCACTGAGAACAGAAGCCCACCTTCCCACAGCCTCTGGTCCTCAGGGGAGGCCTGAGATGGGCCAGCACAGAGCCCAGGTGGCGCTCACCCACCCGCCCAGGAGAGGCCGGCCTCGGACGCGCCTATTTTACCAGCAGGACAATGGTGAGGAGCCCATCAAACACGTTGCTGGGATAGGACAGGTACCCTCGCAGGCCCAGGGCAAAGACCTTGAGCAGCATCTCCAACAGGTAGTACACAATGAAGACACAGTTGAGAATCTAAAGGGGCAGAAGAGGCACCCAGCATTGGGCCCCAGGGCTGGCAGCCCTGCCCAGCCTCGCCCTGGCCCTGACAGGTGGGCAGCTCAGAACTTACCCCCAAGACAAAGTCATCACGCTCAACAGGCAGCACATCTGCATCCAGCACCAGGAACACCTGCAAAGCCAGAGCAGAGGGCTCACCGGCTGGCCCAGCACAGCGGTGGGCGAGGCAGGCGGGGCAGGCTCCCGTGCAAGGTGGGTGGGAACAGGCACTTCCAGGCCAGCTCTGAGGCAAATCCGCACTCACGCAAATGGACACCAGGTTTGCCAGGGCGATGAGGTTCCCCAGGTAGTCAAAGTAGTAGTGGCCAAAGACGAACTGGGCACTCTGCAGAAACGGGGACTGGTACTCGGGCCTCGGCGGGTGCTGGGTAAGGAACACACGCGCTCAGAAGCACAGTCTAGCAGCCGTGGCTGTTGCAGCCCAAAAACGCTCATGCCCTCTTATTCTGGGATTAGATTTTTTCCTACCTCATCTCCCATCCTATCTATCCAGTCACAGGAAATAATCCCAGACACAGAAATCGCTTTATACATTGAGGTGTTCATCTCAGTGGTCTTTGTAACACCCAAAGAGAAATAGAAGCAACTGAAATGTCCACTGAGGCTGTAAGGAAATCATGCTGTGATATTAGAGTCACCTTAAATGTATGCAAAGTGTCACCCTGATATTTAAAAACAAAAAAGCTGTGTGAAAAAACACACGTAAGTGATATGCTCAGAGCTACAGAAACTTAGCACAGAACCGACTCCTGTATGGTGGGCCGGCAGCGGCAGAAGGCAGTGAGGGGCAGGCGGGCAGCCACTGCCACTGTCAGGATCCTCGCGAGACCCAGCACTTCCCACGCTCAGCAGCCTCCTTGAGACACGTCCATGTGTGCACGAGGTCGACAACGGGAACGGCCTAAATGTTTCTCAGCAAGGGGACCTGCACCTGCCGTCCCACACGGGGCCACTGACCACCGGCGGCTATTTCATGATAATTTCGATGCAACGAAATTCAACACTCAGTTATTCAGTGGCAACAGCCACGTGTCAAGTACTCCACAGCCGCATGTGACACGTCGCTACAGCTCATCCCCCCAAAAAATCCATATGAAAATGGAGAGGGCGAGAAGGCACGGCTGCATGAACAGGCAGGCTGCGGAGTGAAAATCGCGATGCTTCACGTATACGTCAAAGAAGAACAAAGCAACTGTTTCCTCAGGTGCCTACAAATGCCTGAAATTACACGGGGAAAAGTCTGGAAGGAAAACACCAAAATAGCCAGTTGAATAGAGTGGCTACTCTCGAGTGAGATCCAAACTGGCGGTGCCAGTGATCAGCGAACTTCCTCTCGGCTCCCAATATCCTCCTCGACACGCACTCTGCCACAACGGCAGGGTCCCTTTCAGCATCTCGTCCGCAGTGAGAGGGAGGTGAGGCTTTCTCAGCGGAGGGGCTGGAGGGACATGGCAGGAGGGCAAGTGAGGGACACCGCAGGAGGGCAAGTGGAGGGACACCACAGGAGGGCAGGAGGGCAAGTGGAGGGACACCGCAGGAGGGCAGGAGGGCAGGAGGGCAAGTGGAGGGACACGGCAGGAGGGCAGGCCTCCCCTGTGGTTTCCGGATGCTGCAGGGTGGATCGGGGTGTGGTGTGAAGCACATGTGGACGCTCTCTGTCCCAGACACACAGTCCCCGGGCGACCTACAGCCGCAGCCTGACCTCCTGAAAATTTCTCAGCTTCCCCCAGTCCTCAGGGTGGAAACCAGTGCCCAAACGCCACCTGCCCGCACTGGCACACAATTCCCTCGGCAGGACAATGCCACCGCCTGCTCACAGCCTGAGCCTGCTGCACCCGGGAGGGTCGCCTCCTGCTTACCCGGTGACCACAGACCAACCGGAGCCCAGGGAGACCAGTGAACGTCTCTGCATTCCTGTGGATGAACCCACACCTTCTCTCAAGAGGTCTGAACCCCGGCTTTGGAGGGTCCCCATCCAGGTCCATCCTCTCTCACGCACTCCCCCTGGCCCGAGGACACCACACGGTTTCCTTACATCTTACAGTTACTCTTTTATCGTAGTTGCCACTTCCATATACGACACTTTCTGTTTAACCCAGACTGACCGTGGCCAAGAGAGATTTTAGCATTATCTGTATGTTTAAATTGTTACAGGGAGCAGGTGTTCACACGTTAGCTGTGTAACTGAGAAGTAACCGATATGACTAAAGTGGTTGTCTCTGGGTAGAAAGCCAGTGAGGTGGATTTTCCCACTTTCCTCTGTTGTCTATAATGAATGACGACTACATTTTTTTTTTTTTTTTTTTTTGAGGCGGAGCCTTCACTCTGTCGCCCAGGCTGGAGTGCAGTGCACCATCTCGCTCACTGCAACTCCCTCCCAGTTCGCGCCATTCTCCTGCCTCAACCTCCCGATAGCTGGACTACAGCACCCCCACCGCCCGGCTAATTTTTGTATTTTAGTAGAGACGGGTTTCACCGGTTAGCAGGATGGTCTCGATCTCCTGACTGTGATCGCGCCTCGCCTCCAAAGTCAGAATTACAGGCTGAGCCCGGCCCCGATGACTACATTTTTAACCCCAAAAGCTTCTTATATGAAGAGGAGACTTCTTTCAGCCGCAGGCAGGGCACCTTCTCTGGAGCTCACCAGCAAGCACCAAACTACTGCCTGGCCACGGCCAGACTGACGCCCAGGCGGTGACCCCACACAGGAGGGCTCTCGAAAAGGCTGGCGCTCCCATGACGTCAGCCTGCCAAGAAAGCACCTCTTTGTGCTTCCAAAACCACAGGCTGCCCCAAATCTCAGCAATCCCAGAAGCATCCACCTCCCAAAATGGAAGCTCAGCCAGCCCTTCGCATCAGCGGGCACTGCATCTGCAGACTGAACTCACTGCAGATCAAAACACACTCAGGGGAAACGGCGTCCATGCGGAGCGTACAGGTTTGCTTACCCGTATTCCCCAAGCTCCCACCGCATCCCTAGGTGCTAGGTATATTCTAAGTAGTCTGGAAATGGTCTAAAGTATACAGAAGGATGCGTGTAGGTTACCTGCAAACACTACATCATCTTACATAAGAGACTTAAACATCCATGGATTTTGTATCCACATGGAGTCCTAGAGGCAATCCCTGCAGATACCGAGGGGCAATGGCCTCCCCTCTACAGTCAGCATTATTGAGGAAAGAAGGTGTCAGCAAACCAAATTAAGGATATCGCAGCTCCCAAAACCTGTGGAACCTAAGCTCCCATCTCAAAGCCCAGTGCTCGGTGCCCCGGGAAGAGCATCGCTGGGACCTCAAAGGAGACGGCCAGGCTGGGAATCTGGCCAGGCCAGCCTGGTGGGCCTTCCCCACTCCTGCGCGCACACGAGCCCGCTCTACTGGGTCACGGCCAAAGCAATCCGTCCACTCTTCCTCCACAGCATCACGGGAGGAGGAACTCCTCTCCAGGTCTCATCAAATCCTGACACTGGAAAAGGGTGGGAAAGTCAGCTCTGGACAACCAGGACTCAGCCGCACCCTAGGGAACAGCAACAACGGTTCAGGGAGAGCCCAGATGGCCCAGAGCACACCAGGAGCAAAGCCTGAGAAACGACAACCACCTTCCCAGAACCTTTAGGATGACTGGCTTTTCCCGGCCTGCGTCTGCCTGCCCCCGCAAGGGGCCGGGTCACAGCAAACTAGCCTATGACAGTCGCTAAGAGCTGCTTCCTGAGCCCCAAACATCTCTGGCCCTAGGACAAGCGCCATTATCTAGAACACTGCTTCTTAATTTTCTGTCATCTGAGGACCATCTCCACAGTTTCTGGGAAATCTGCACCTGCACTCAAAATTTATTTCATATCTTCAAGACAACCTTAAGTTGATACCACATTGCCCAGCCTTGTCCCAAACAGAGGTTTGATGGCGTGAATACTTAAAGTGCCGCCTGTTGATCCTCACCACACTCATCGCCCATGCCCCAAGGAGTTGGGGGGGCCACACTGAGGAATGCAGCCCTAAAGGGGATGCCCAAAGTGACAATGGGGACGAGCACGTGCCACTCAAGCTCAGGTTGGGGCAGGGTCTGACTCCAGAGGTCTGGAAGGACCTTAGGAAAACATGTTTTTTAGAGAACCACCTCTGACAGGGGCCTGCAGCCACAGAGGCCGACAGAATCCTGAGGCAGGTGACAGCTGCTGGGGGCTGAATTTTGTCTCCCTCAGAATTCGTATCTTTAACCTCTAACCCCAGTAGCTCAGAATGTGACTTTTAAAAGGTAATTTGTTAAAACAAGGCCATTAGAATGGGCCCTCATCCAATCTGAATAGGGTCCTTTTAAGAAGAGGAGATGACACACAGAGGGATGACCACATGAGGACACAGGGAGAAGGTGATGTCTACAGGCCACGGAGAGAGGCCTCAGGTGAGGACACGGGGAGAAGGTGATGTCTACAGGCCACGGAGAGAGGCCTCAGGTGAGGACACGGGGAGAAGGTGATGTCTACAGGCCACGGAGGAGGGGGGGGGGGGGGGGGGGGGGGGGGGGGGGGGGGGGAGGCACGGAGAGAGGCCTCAGGTGAGGACACGGGAGAAGGTGATGTCTACAGGCACGGGAGAGGCCTCAGGTGAGGACACGGGGAGGGGGCTACAGGCCACGGAGAAAGCCTCAGGTGGGAGGGAGGGGTGACAGCCAGGGGAGGGGGGGGGGGGGGGGGGGGGGGGGGGGGGGGGGGGGGGGGGGGGGGGGGGGGGGGGGGGGGGGGGGGGAGGGGAGGGTGGCACCTACAAGCCACTGAGAGGGGCCTCAGGAGGAACCAGCCCTGTGACACCTTGGCCTCGGACTGACGGCCAGGACCGTGAGATGACAAATGCCTGCTGCTTCAGCCCCACCCCTGCCCCAGTCTGTGGTGCCGTCCCAGGAGCCTGAGCAAACGAGAAAAGTGACCCAGAACTGGCAGGCGTCTGCGACTCCGCCTCTGTGCCCCATCCCCGTTCCAGGGTCCGGCTCAGTCCTCTGAGGCTGAGCAGCTGGAACAGCAGCCCCCGTGCTGCCCCCGCACTGCCTGTGAGCGCCTGGGCTGTTTCCCAATGTCTCCGCCCCCCTGGCCCAGGCCTTCCGGACACAGAGCTTAGACGGCTGCTGAGGCCCACCTGGGAACTCTGTAAACCCGTGTCAAGGGCGAAAGACAAAGGCCTTGGAGAGGACCAGCATGCGGACCTCCTAAGAAAGGACAGACAGGAAAAGGAGAGTCTGTCATGGAAATGGAGAAAACCATTTGGAAGATTTATTTGTGTCGGGCTGGGCTCAGGCTAGTTCCTGGGGTCTGGGGAATTTCATAAAAATCTCCCCAATCTCCAAGAGCCAAAGAGATCTCCATTCCCAGTTCCCAACCTAGGAGCCAGGACCCCTGGCAGGCGAATCCCGGCGCCCATCGTTAGAGGAGCTCCCCAGGTGATCAAGGGCGGTGGAAACTGGACGGCCCCCACTATCCGCCCTGGGCGGCCGTGGCCCCACTTACCTCTTTAACCACACTTCTGTCAAGCTCGTTGAAGAGTTTCTGAAACTCGTCAGCCGAGAGCGGAACACTGCCATAGGAGCGCACCTTCTGCAGAGGAAGGAGCGCAGGTCAGCAGGGGCACCCGGGAAGGTGAACGCCCTCGGAGGTGAGTGCCCCCAGCCCCAACCCCACCCCGACGGGCTGTGAACGCTGCAGGTGACCTCAAGCCACACACGCAGTCCTGAAAAGGGGCTGCTGGCCCAAGTGACCTCCTGGGAGGAGCCCAGAGGAGGCTGGGAGCAGGGGCGGGTACCTCCATCATGGCCTGTTTGTGGGAGCTGTCCAGCTGCACCTTCTGAAGCACCTGCAGCAAGTTCTGGGGCTTCACCCCAACTCTGCAGGGAAAACCCACAGCCCAGTCAGCACGGCCAGCTCAGCCCCGCTCGGAACCCGGGCCTGAGTCCTCTAGTCCTGGCGTCTGGCTTGAGCTTTGCCGTGAAGCCACTTTGCAGCCTGAGCCACAACAAGAGCCCCTGTAAGGAGTGTCCTGCCACTGCCGTCCCCCCGAGGAGGGGCAAACTGCCTTCACCACTATGAGCAGTCAGGACCAGAACTTGCCACCGCAGTGTCCCTCAAGCTCTCTGCCCTCATTTCCAAGCAGGACGGTGGTGTGGACACCTGGCCCACGCACCTCTGGCTCTGCTGCCTAAGTCAGCACAGAAGGGGGACAAGGAGAAGCCAGGCCACTCGGCCCTTCACCAGCCCAGGGTCACTGGGGGGCACAAAGATAAAGGCATGGACTCAGGGCAAGGATGCCGGGAACCACAGAGCGCCAGGGACATGGTGGTTTCTGTGAGGTGGGTGCCAGCCAGCAGCGGCGAGGGACAGGCCGAGCACGAGAAGCCCCTAATGAACACCCGCCCCCTGCCCAGCAGGCACAGCGCCCACCCTCAGGGAGAAGAGGGCCCATGCTCAGCACTCACGCCTGAGGAAAGGCTCCTCCCTCCCCCGCCGTGGAGGACAGGACTTCAAAGGCAGCCCGGGTCCCCAGCCGCCTCCGAAACAGCGAGGTCTGGAGAGATTTCTGCAAAGAGGAAGGCTCTGAACGGCAGGATCAGCACCCCCCCGGCTCAGAACCCCCAACCCGTCCCTCCCCTGGGGAACAGGCAGAGGGGGAATCTGGGCAGCCTTGGAGGGGGCCCAGTCCCCCATGCCTGGGGGCAGCCCCTCACCCCCCGGGAATGAGAGGACTGGTCACGGACTCCCGGAACAGGCCACACAGGAAGGTGTCTGACGGGCGTGCTGTGCAATACACTGGGCCATGTTTCTTCTCTGTGTGTTGGGGGGCCCCCCCGGCTCCCCCTCAAGAGGGTTTAGGGTCCGCTGTCCTGGGAGCTGCCATCTCTGGCAGTGGCCAGAGCAACAACATATGTGTATCCCCAGCAGATCCACAGGAGGTGGCAACCCTGCCCTCCCATCCCACCAGGAGCCTGGCCAGCAAGGATCACCCAGCTGCTCAGCTCAAGCCACACCCTGCTTGGCCTCCCGGCAGCTCCAGGCAGAGCCAGGATGGGGGAGCTCGCTCACCATCAGGTAGCCCCGGAACTGGCTATAGATGATGGCCGTCAGCAGGTTCATCAGAAACAGGCTTCCTTCAAGAGGAGACAGCCACAGTCAGGGGGCCACCAGCACAGCAGCAAAACCAACGCCAGGGCGGCCAGCACAGGACAGCACAGTGCCGGGGGCGCCCCTATCAAATGGAAATGTGGCCTGGCCAGCGCAGTCACGGGTGGGAGGACGATGAGGTCGACGGTGATGACAGAACAGAAAGTGTGGGGTAGGGGCTCCCTGGGGTGAAGCCGTGGGGTGGGGAATCCCTGGGGTGAAGCTGTTGGTGGGGGATCCCTGGGGTGAAGCCGTGGGGTGGGAAGCCGTGGGGTGGGGAATCCCTGGGGTGAAGCTGTTGGCGGGGGATCCCTGGGGTGATCTCTGGAGTGAAACACACGGATGTGAAGTTTCAGGTCATGGAGGGAGCGGAGTATGCCGGTCCCTGAGCTCTCGGGATCCTGTCACAGAATGCTGGCCACGTTACCTGCACTCACCTATCACGGTGAAGACTATGAAGAAGATGGCGTAGGCCCGGTTCTTGGAATATGCAGGAATCATCACTGAAAGAAAAAAGAAATAACGCAGACTGACAACCTCAGTTCCTGATCCCATTCCCATCCTGACCCTACACTATTTGCTTCTGCAATAGAAAGGAGGTCTCCACTGTGGAAAGGAGGTCTCCACTGTGGAAAGGAGGTCTCCACTGTGGAAAGGAGGTCTCCACTGTGGAAAGGAGGTCTCCACTGCCGAGTGCTGGCTCACACCTGTAATCCCAGCACTTTGGGAAGCTGAAGCGGGTGGATCACTTGAGGTCAGGAATTCAAGACTAGCCCGGCCAACATAGTGAAACTCCATCTCTACTAAAAATGCAAAAATTAGCCAGGCGTGGTGGCTCATGCCTGTAATCCCTGCTACTCAAGAGGCTGAGGCAGGAGAATCGCTTGAACCCAGGAGGTGGAGGTTGCAGTGAGCCGAGATCGCGCCACTGCACTCCAGTCTGGGTGACATAGCGTGGCTCCGTCTGAAAGGAAAGGAAAAGGAAAAGGAAAGGGAAAGAAGAGAGAAAAGAAAAGAAAAGAGGTCTCCTGGGAGGACTGAGAGGCCTTCCTGTCCGAATTCGATCTCTCGCCTCTGCTCGAACACCCTCCAGGACGGGGAACTCCCTACCCATCAAGGATGTCCCTCTGTGCGCAGAGCTCACAGCCTCCCTGCAGCTCTCCCCACAGACAGTCCTGCTCCCCCTGCGGTCACTTGCTAGGACTCAGAGGACACAAGAGACAGCACTCAGGGTCCGCAAGATGAAAGGTACCAGCCAGGGTGGCTGGGCCACAGCCAAGCCCAGGACCGTGGCCTTCATCCTGGCCACACCTGCACCTGAGCAGCGGAGGCCCCACCAGCATCACACAGGGTGAGCATCATGGCTGGTAAGACCCTTGGCCCTCACGTGCTGCTGCCCAGTGGCTCCCACAGCTGAACCTCAGCAGCAACAGGAGTGTGGGTGTGTGGAGCTCCAGCAGGACGGCACCGGGAGACCCCTCTGACCACTGACCTCCAGTAGGAGGGCACCAGGGGACCCTCTGACCACTGCCATCATCACCCTATGAAGAACACCAGCCACTTTCAGCTTCTCAGAGGAGTGAGACGACGAGGAGGAAGAGGAGACGAAGAGAAAAGGGAGGAGGGAGTAAGAAAGCAAAGGCATGAGACAGCAAAGGAAAGAAGGAAAGAGAAGGGAGAAGGGAGAGGGAGAAGAAAACCAAGACAAGGAAGAAGAGAAAGGAAAAGAAGGGGAGGAAGGAAAATGTCACCCTTTCTTCTCCACTTGTCGATAAAAAGGGCTCGGACACTCCCGCTGGGTGCTAAGGCTCAGCGACCCAAACCGGCCCCCCATGCTGGGCTCACCGACCCCCAGAGTCCCTCCCTGGCCCTGCACGCACCATCGGGGTTGTTGGCCGTGGTCAGCAGCACCAGGAGGGAAGTCAGAGACTCAGGCAGGTTCTGGAAGTAGGTCCGCCTCTCCCTGTCCTGCCCATCATCCTGCTGAGAGCAGAAGCGGCAGCTCCAGGGCGCCACCGGGTCCCCACCCCACAGGCTGAGCCCCAGGCCCCGGACCCAACCGGCTGGAACCATCCACCCACTGCCCAGCCTGCATCTCCCTGTGGCCTCCCAGCAGGCTGAGCTCATGGCCAGACAGCACCAAACTCAGGATCTCAGGGCCAAGAGTGGGCACCCAGGGAGACCGCTCACCCGCACGGACATGGTGCCTGGAAGCAGGACGGCTCAGAACCACAGCAGAAAGCCCTCGGCCAGCCTAGTGACCTCCCTCAGGCCACCTCGCCTGCTCGCAGCCGATTCTGCCATATACTGTGCGGGCAGTGAGGCTACAGGGCAGGGGCGGGCAGGGGCGGGAGGGGCAGGAGGGGCCCAGGCTGCCACGGTGGGATAGGTTGGACCCTTCGTGAAGCCTACTCTAGAGGCTGTGTATCAGGGCCCATGGCCACCCAGGGGACCCAGAGGCACCGTGCTCGTGGCTGTGGTGAATCACAGCCATTGGCAAGGGGGCATCCACACGAGAGTCCCTATCCTCTCTCCCTCCTGAGAGGGGTCCCAGCCACAAAACACAGCTGGCACGTGCAGGGTTTCTGCTCGGAAAGCAACTCCACTCGAGACTCTGGGCCCGGGGCTCTCACTGGGGCCAGGCTCGTGGGCACCCTCTGCCGATCAAGCCTCCAGACCCCCAGCTGGAAGATGCCCAGCTGGAAGATGGGTGGTTCCTGCAAACCAGACTGGTTGTGTGAACTGGATGGGCCGGTGGCACAGCGGGACTTGGCACACAAAGCAAACTCTTAGGGATCGTTTCAAAGCCACGAGCCCAGCTGCTGGCGAAGGGGAGACCTCACAAGCAGGCCCTGGCACGGAGGCGCCTGTGACGGCCACTCTCTCTCACACAGGCCGCCCTTCCGGCCTCAGAGCCACATCAATAGCACCGAGGCCTGCAAGGTCTCACCTAAAAAATGGCCCTGTCCCCTCATCTGCCCAGTCAGGGGCTCCCAAGGACACGTGAACTAATTGATGGTGAAGACGCCACAGTCTGCTAAGGGGAGGGGGCGCAGAGGCCACTGAGAGGAAGTGAGAAGGCAGGGAGCACTGTCAGGCACAGAGCCATGGGTAGGGACAGGCTGCCCTGCTGGGGAGAGCAAGGCGGGCCCCTCCTGGGCCTCAGCCCAAGCCAGAGTGGAGGAGCAGAGCAAGGCCTTTGAAGTCTGGAGGGCAGGCTGGCCTCCAGCGGTCACCGGGGACAGTAGGACTGGAGTGCTGGGCTCAGGCCTCCTGCGCCTCCCCACTCCCACTCCCACCCAGTCAAACCACCACATTCCCGAACGTAAAACAACCCACCGAGCGCCCACTGAGCAAGGTTCAGGGCCAGGCTTCGAGTCAGCTGAGGAAGGTTCTGGCACCCACACCACCTAACAGATGCTGAGGTCCACAGAGCCGAGAGAACTCCCCTGCCCAGGCCCTTCTCCCACCCCACACTGAGCCTCCCAGCAGGCCTCACGCTCCTCCTCTGCAGTTCGACCTCTGCTCGGGCAGACCCTAGGCGTGACCTCCCATACCTACAGCCCAGCCCAAGCCACAGCTCTGTGAGGGACACAGAGGAGCCCTGGGCTCCCGCCCAACCTGCCACAACCAGCAACGATGGACCCGAGCCAGCCCACAGCCCTGACCTGAGAAACGTCTGTAAAATGGGACAGCACCATCACGGCTGCTGGGAGACCACACACCCCAGCACCAACCCTGGTTCTTGGAAATCAGTCCAGGTTGGAGCTTCACAACGAGCAAAGCCAGCAGAGGACAAGCAGGCTGGCTCTGGACCGTGCTCACAAAGGTAGCTAAAGCAAGGCAGCCGCTGCACCCCGCCAGCAGGAGCCGGCGATGCCAGCAAGGCCATCCGGAAGCACAGCCTAGCTACTGCCCCAGGCCAGGCTGGCAGGGCACTATGGCCGGGGAAGGAAGGCAGGGACAGGCCGGCCACCATCCCATATTCCTCTCAAGTCCTGCCTCGGACAGGGATCCAGACTCCTGCCAAGACCACGACAAGCGCTCTGACCCCTCACACAAGGCACACCTTGCTCCCCAAGGGCCGCTCCATGGGGCAGAACCCCACACCTAGAGGAGGAGCCGGCCCTTCCCGGTGCCTCAGGATGGGACACTCGGCTTTCCCAGGCGGAGGATCACACCCCAGCCTCAAGGCTGACGCTGTTGCCACGTCCAGCACCCACAATGATGACATCCACCTTGTATGGGCTCTGGGAAACAGCGCCACTGCAGCAGTCACTGGACAGTCACACAGAGGAAGGCCTGAGATTCCGTCAGCGGTTCCATCTCCACAGCCCAGCTGCCCCCGAATCACAGCCATTGGCAAGGGGGCATCCACACCAGAGTCCCTATCCTCTCTCCCTCCTGACAGGCACACAAACACATACACACAGAGACATGCATACACGAACACACACAGACATACAGACACCACGCACGCGCACAGGCACACAGACACCACGCACACGCACAGACATACAGACACCACGCACGCACACAGGCACACAGACACCACGCACGCGCACAGGCGTAGCGACACACGCACGCGCACAGACATACACCACACGCACAGACACACCACCACGCCACAGACATACACCACACACGCACACAGACATACAGACACCACGCACGCGCACAGACATACAGACACCACGCACGCGCACAGGCACACAGACACCACGCATGCGCACAGGCGTAGCGACACCACACACGCGCACAGACATACACCACACACGCACACAGACGTACAGACACCACGCACGCGCACAGACATACACCACACACGCACACAGACGTACAGACACCACGCACGCGCACAGGCGTACAGACACCCTGCATGCACAGACATACAGACACCGCGCACGGGCACAGACGTACAGACACCACGCACGCACACAGACACCATGCACACATGCAGACACTACACAGCAAACAGACATACAGACACCACGCATGCAAAGACACCACACCACACACCACATAAGACACCACACACACACACAGACATACAGACAAGCCACGCACACACACACACACCACACACGCACACAGACAACAGACTCGCACACAGACAACAGACTCGCACACAGACATACATACACCACGCACATGCACAGACATACAGACACCACGCACACACAGGGCTCACTCACTGCTTCCGCCCTGGGTGAGAACCCCGGCTTCAGCCTTCCCCTTCTGGACAACACACAGCAAACCCCAACACGGCCACAAACGAACAGCAGCACAGGCTGAGCACTGTCCACTCCCACGACAAAGCCGCAGCGATGCAGCGTGGCCCCAGCCCCAAGGAGGATGGTGCCCTCGGCCAGGACGGAAGAATAAACTCGTAACACTGCAGTGGGGTAGGGAGACAGGCAGACGCCTCCACACAGCAACGAGCTGCCGCGCCCCGGGCAGCCACAGAGGAGGATATGGTGGGAGAGACTAGTGGCAGGAGAGGGCGTGGGAGGTGAGGGCCCTCCCAATAGGCCAGCGCAGCCTGGGGGGCTGCAGTCAGAGAGGGTGCAGGGCAAGCCTGGTTGTCAGGAAGGATGAACGGGACTGGAGGAGAAACCAGAGGAACCACCCTCAGTGAAGGGCCTGGCGGGGAGGGCCGGGGAGGGGTGGGGAGACAGAGACAGGGAGGAAGGTAGGAGGGGAGGAGGACAGGGGATAGGCAGGGAGGGAGGGAAGTGGGAAGGAGGGTAGGGGAACTGAGTCAGGATGGGAGGGAGCAGGGGAGGGTTGGAGAGGGGCAGCCAGGACAGAGAACAAGTGGCCCTGAGCCCAGGAGACCCCAGGACAGACAGGTATCCGGGCAGTGGGGTGGTGGAGCACTGTGGCCACCCGAAGGCAGGCCCCTGGACCCCTGATGGGCCACTGCTAACTCCTGGACAGAGTTTGCACATGGGTTAAGCCAGGGCAGCAGACACCGGCCCAGCCCCCTCTGTTAGTCACAGCACAGGGCAGCCCCATCCCCAGACCCTGTTAGAACCACTGAGAAGGTAGGGTGCCCTACCTTCCCGCCGGCGAACAGCAGCATCCCGAACATGGTGAACAGGCACAGGTGGATGGCCAGCAGCAGCCCAACGCTGGGGGAGAGCGTAGCACTCAGCCTGGGCCAGGCAGGTGGGCAGGCAGGACCCAGGGACACCTGACCTGCCTGCGGGGCTCGGTGACAGGAGCGCCCAGGAGTCTGCAGCAGCTGGGTCCCCCTCTCCCCGAGGGCCTTGCCTCATGCTCAGCTCATGGGGCCCAGAGGAAAGGCCTGGTCCTGCCCTGGCAGGGTCCCTTCTTTGACAGTGACCAATGAAACCCAGGGGGCCCAGCTGAGACAGCATCCAAGGGCCCAGGGCTCTCAGAGGGGGCCACTTCCACCCACCTGAGCTGGATGGTGAGGGGTCAGCACCTGAGCCACTAGGGACTCACGCACCGTTGCCACTGGCAAGAGCAGAGGGTGACAGGGGATCGGGACCGGGGTGAGCTGAGGTGGATGGAGGCTGGGCTGGGGCACAGGGAGAGCGCCCCACGCTTCTAGTGGCAACAAGAGCCACGAGGGCTTCCAAGCAGGGGCGCCGTCAGGAGCAGCTTGGCTTTATGAAGTCTAGGCTGGCAACGTGCAGACACCATGAGTGGGAGGGAACAGCAGAGGGGAGAGGCAAGGCGCAGCCCCAGTGAGGACAGAGGGGACAAGAGGAGACCCATCGGAGAGAGTGCCCAGGGGACTCACAGCCTTTGAGCTGGGGCCACAGTGTCTGCAGCCCCAGGCCTAGGTCGAAGGCTGCTGGGAGGCCTCTGGGGAACTGTTGGAACCACTGAGACCCCAAACGCCCCCCCAGCGTCCTCCCCACACTGTCACCAGCCAGCCAGGGATGCGGAGCAGGCAGTCCAAGGTGAGACTCCGATGGGCCCCGCCCGCAACCACATGGCCTGGGGCAGAGAGAGCCGCTTCCCAGCCCTACGAGCCCGGGGCACGAAGAGCCCACCTGGCCATTTCCGGCAGCGACCAGTGGATGCACTTCAAGGTCTTCTTCATCATAGAGGAGTTCTGCAGCAGGAAGAAGGGGCGGAGGAGCCGGCGGACGCGCAGAGGCTGGAAGAGATCCGGGCAGCTGAGCACCACGTGCAGTGCTTAGTTCCACCCCCGCCGACCATCCCAGGTGGGCACACAGTTCAGAGACCCCCGTGCCCTGGGGGCCACTCCACAGTCACTGAGCTCGGAGTGGAGGGCCTGGCTCCAGAGCTGGCCTTGAGACCTGCTCCGGGCCGCATGATCCGCAGTCCTTCCCCGTCGCAGGCCTCCCCCTTGCCCATCTCCCAACTCCTGGGCGCTGCACACACAGGCTCCCCAGTCCTAACACCTGTCCCCATCCCTGTCCAAGGTCATCCTCCCCTCTGCCCACCCAGGACACAGTTGGAAGGGTGGCGGCCCCATGCCTGCCTTGGGACCCTCCTGCCTTGCCCAGCACACCTAGCCTCTCAGGGTACCATCCCTGCCTCCTCACCCCTCAACCCTCAACCCGCCTCCCCTCGTGCCCCTGCCTCCAAGTCTTCCCCTCCCAGACGCAGACCCTGCTCCCGGGAGCCCCACTTCCACCAGCCCCCCACATCCACAGCGCCCTCCAGCCTCACTGCTCCCACACTCATCACTCACACGGCGTCAATGTGACCCCAGCTCCAAGCCTTCCCCTCCCAGACACAGACCCTGCCCCCAGGAGCCCCACCTCCACACCCCCACACTCACACAGCGCCCTCCAGCCTCACTGCTCCCACACCCAACCCTCACACGGTGTGAACGTGCGTCCCCTCCAAATCTCATGTTGAATCTGACTTCCCGTGTTGGAGGCGCAATCTAGCGGGAGGGGTCTAGGTCATGGGGTGGATCTCTCGTGAACAGCCTGGCACCCTCCCTGCGGTAATGACTTCTCATGAGGGTTCGCGAGAGATCTGGTTCTTAAAAGGAGTCTGCAGGCTTCTCTCGCCATGTGACACACCCGCTCCCCGTCTCCTTCTGCCACGAGTGGACGCTGCCTGAGGCCTCACCAGAAGCAGACGCCAGCACCATGCTTCCATGCAGCCTACAGAGCCGTGAGCCAAATAAACCCCTTCTCTATTAATACCCAGCCTCAGGTCTTGCTTTATGGCCATGCAAAACAGACTCACACTCACTCACACCCACACACACACACTCTCACAGGTATTCCCATCTTCCCTGCCTTCCTCCTGGGAGGACAGAAGTGCCCACCCACAGTCCTGTCAACCCACCCCAGCCTTCTCAGTATTGGTTCAATCACCACCTCCTGCTCCAACCACCACACACCAGTTTCTCACAGCTTCCATCATGCCACGTTTCCCTCCCCTCCCCTCTATTCACCCACCTCCCCTGCTCCTGTCCCAGCCCATCCTCCCCTCCCGGCCACTGGGACCCACCTGGGGGTCCCCATGATAACCTTCCCATCCTGCCTGGCGCCCTCGGCACCAGACACAGCTACCTCGGTGCTCCCGGCTGCCCTGTGGGCCCCCGCACTGCCCGATCCGCCTGTGCTGGGCACCCTGCCCCCACCTCCTCTCTCTGCCTCACACCTGGATTCAGTCCCATGAGTATCCCGTTTACACTTTGGCGCCTGTCAATCTCAAATCCACGCTCTCAGCTGCAGTCTCGCCTCCTCATCAGTGCCTTGTTTTAGAAACGCACGGCTGTCAGCTCCTTGCACAAAACCAAACACTCCGACAGCTGCCCACGGCTCTGCCCATGGCCTCCAGGGTCCACAGAGCAGGCCCGGCCAGTCAGTCCAGCCCCTTCCCAGGCCGCAGAGGCCACGGCCCTCCAGCCGCCAGTCTCTGCCCAGCTGGCCGGCTCAGCCCCCCTGCCAACCTGCAGAACACCACCTCTGCCAGGGCTGCCGGCCTCCTCTCCGGCACGGCACCCACCACCCTTGGGAATCACTCTCTGTGTCTGGCACTTCTGTGCGCTGGCAGTCTCTCTGTCGCTCCGGAAGGGGGTCTCAGAGGACAAGAGACCTGCCCGTTCTGTTCACCACGGTCCACCCAGCAGCAGCACAGCAGGCCCTCTGGAACGTCTGCAAGTGACTGATCCCCAGCACTCACTCCAAGTGAATCATCACCCTCAAAAGGGACCCCAAGGCCTGGCGCAAGACTGAGAAGGCCAAGGGAACAGCGGTGAACAGAGAACGGCTCAGGGCTCTGGCTCCTGCCCTGTGCGCCCAGCTCACCCGGAACCCACTTGTTGCCACTGGTTGGAAACTCCGGTTTTAGGGCCTGATAACAAAGGCTTCTCTCAGCCCCTCTACAGGCCAAGCAGACACTGAAGGTGCTGCTGGCTCCCCTCCCCTGCCCAGGAACTTGCACCCTCACCTGTAGTCAGACACAGACCACGGCACAGCTTCCCCAGACTCAAGAGCCCAACCCTGAGGGCCTTCCCTTGACAGCTGGGGCCTTGAGGCCTCTATGAGGATGGGAAGGTACATCCAGGTGACCAGCCTTCAAGGACAACCAACCACAATGCCAGTCAAGCCCCTGGGACCCTCAGACCCAAGGCTTTGAAGACAAACCACGTCCAAACAGCCCTGGCAAAGACAAAGTGAATGAGCAAAACCCAACAGTGACCGGCAGCCCAGGTGTTATCCAGCTCCCCCGGCCACAAGGCTGGGGGCACCCGGTCCTGCCTGCAAGCCGCCCAGTGCCTGTGGGAGTTCTGTATGACTGGACAGCTGGCCACAGAGGAAAACCTCAGGCCTGGTTTGCAGACGTGCTGAGTGATGGCCGGTCCAGCCAGAAACGCACACACGCATTTCAGCCTCCAACAAGAAAGCGCCGCACAGACGCAGCGGAAGGCAAAGCTCTGCAGTGGGCAGTCCCCTGCGTGGACTGGAAAGGGGACATTCCCAGGTGGAGGACAGGGGCGTGGAAAGAGAAGGGTGGAAGACTGGGAACGAGGTCTGGGAGGAAGCATGTGGACTGGCTGCTCTGAACAAGCTGCTCTGCACGGCACATGGCGTGAGGAGCCGAGGCCCCACATGAACGCCCACCATGGGCACCACGGAGAGGAGCCTCTCTGGCCAGGACGAGGCATCCTGTGGATGCAACTGGGCCTCTTCCCTCAGCCACCCTGCTCCTAACTCCCTCCACCACACACAAATCGGCCACCACGACAGACATGGAGGCTATGCCTGGTGCCAATAGCACAGCCGCTCAGCCAGAGGCAGAGCCCGGTACCGGCCCAAGACAGCCCCCGGCAACAAAGGGGCCCTTGCCCGTAACCGGCACTCATCTGTCCTCCCGGGACAGACAGGCGTGCAGGTTATGAATCTGCCTGCCCTGCCCCCAACGTCTCTGCCAGCACCATCCCAGAACTTGGGGAATGAACTCAGTGGGGCACTATGTCCCACTCACAGCCCTGCAAATACCGCTTCCAGTGGAAGAGCTGGGGCAGCCCTGGCACGGCCCCACAGTAGCTGGCTGTGGGAAGGGTCCCAGAGCCTTAGGAAGACTCAGCAACGCTGTCGGCTTAGGGTCACAGGGCACAGCACAGGCTCTGAACTGGAGGCAACTGGGCGGGGCTGTCTCTCCCCAGCTAGGACCCACTGGGACCCAGGCAAGGGCAATGGGAGTGAACGTGGTGAAGAGGCACAGGGGGATGGCCAGCTTTCCACCTCCCACCTCGCCCATTCTGGGTCCCCGGTCTGGAAATATCCCCTCCCAAGGTGGGGATGCTTCCACCAGGATACACGCTGGTGCCAGTGGTCTGGACCATAGCTTGTTCATGAGAAGAGGGCTGCTGTGCCAGCGGGGTGAGCGGGCAGGCTGGCCGCTACCACTGAGAACAGCAGGGAGGGCTGGGTGGGGTCCTCTGGGGCACCTCTTACTCCTATGTCCCATAGGAAAAGTTAGCAAAGAACTCCAGCCTTCTAAAGGCAGGACCACTCGGGCCCCTCAGGGAGGAAGGTCCAGTCCCTGTGCCAGGTGAAAAACCAGGGCCAGCTGGGGAGCTGGCGGAGGTGAAGGGAGCACAGAGCAGGTGGCAGAAGAGATCCAGGAAGGGCCCACGGCCAGGTACAAAAACAGGCCTTTATTTGTTTTCTTCCTTGCTTGTAACATAGACCTGTGTCCCTTTTTCCTGTCTCCTTCCCCATCCTAATTTCATATAAGGATTCTTGGTGTGGCCTACAATTTAGCCTGTAAGTTACAAAACATAATACAGCTGCCACGACCGTAACTCAGAAATGGCGGTGGGAGGGCCGTCCCCGCTCCCCTTGCTGGGGCAGTCACGGGAGAGGCTCTTCCTGTGCAGGGAGGAGGCTTCGGGACGCTGCCGGGTCAGGGAGACAGGAAGGAGGCGGCCGCGGAGGCCCCACAGCAGCACAGCGGGACTGCCCTCCAGCCACCCTTCCGCTCTGCCGGGCTGTGGCCGCGACGCCGCCCATTCCAGCTCTCTGCAGCGGCTACTCCCCACCAGGTCCTGCCAGCAGGGCCCTGGGGCAGGCGGACAGGAGACGCACTCACGAGGCTGCACCCAGAGCTTCCCAGCCTCCCCATCGGCACTGCTGGGACCAACCTCATTGAGCTTCTGGGAGGCACCAGCGCCCGCCGGGTAGCGCCCCCTCCCAGAGGGCAGAGGGCAAGGTCCCAGCTCTATGGGCCCCTCCCCTGGGCCTCCAGGTGCTAACAACCCCCATCTCTCCCCTGTGTGCCCTGCCCAGGGTGGGGCTGCTCCGGCGGTTCTGGTTCCACTGGGCTGCTTTCACTGTTGGTTTCTCGGCGCCTATTTAAGGCCCTCTGTTCATTCCCTCCACAGGGCACCTGCGGGGCTCTGCTTCCCGACAAGACCCAGTGGATCCTGCTGACTCCGCACCCACCTCTTCCCGCTCTGTTCTCCCAAAGCCCGGGGGGGCTTCCGGGTGCTCTGAGGGGAAACTGAGACGCTGCGGTGGAAAGAGCTGAGCGTGGCCGGGTGAGGGGCTTTCTCACTGTCAGGCCTCACAGAGCTTGGGGCTTGTGACTATGGGGCATGGTGAGGCCCTGGTGTGGCGCTCTCGTCGGGCGCTGGGCGGACGAGGCCCTCAGCTAGAAAGTGGAGAGCTGGGAGGCCAGAGTCCTGGATCTCACTCCCAGGTCTGCCCTCACCACCAGGGTGAGCCAGGAGGAACCCTGCACCTGTCCAGCCCTCCGGGGCTTCATCTGCAAGACGGGAACAAGGCTCCCCAGCCAACAAGTGAAGAAGTGCCACGGGAGGTGGGCAGTGCTGGGCGGGTGGGCAGGATGGCTGGCGGGCTCAGGGCTCCATCCCAACATCCCTGTGGGCCTTGCACCCACACCACCCCCAGAGCTCTCCGCCTGTCTCAGGGCCACCTCGCCACCTACCTCATGACACACGAGACTCAGGGACACGGTCCAGTCCACCAGAGACACCACCAGCACCACGAGGTAGCCCAGCAACCAAAGGTTCTTCTGGAAATGGGCCCACCCAAACAGGTAACCCTGCAAGAGAGACGGGCGGGTGAGCAGCAAGCAGCCCCACACACTGGCCCTGCAGCCAGAGAATGACGGTGCGCAGGGCAGGGACAGGACGACCAGACACAGTGTGGTCCCCACGGGATGCTGAGCAGCGGTCAGGAGGCCCGAGCTCCCACCCAAGCCTGCTAGGGACTCACTGTGCAGCCTCAAGCAGCACCGAAGCTCTCTAACCTGGTCCTCATCAGTAACAGGAGGCTCCTGCCTGTTCTGCCTATGCAACCAACCACCTTGTGCAGGCTGAGAAGGCACGGAATGCATTCTGGAAAAGGCTCGAAGAGTACCGGCTCAGTGGGCAGGTCTCCGCCGCTACAGCAAGGCAGTTTGGGAAGTGAGGTCTGGTCTGTTCTTCCCTTACCTAACTGCCATTTCCCACCATCAAGAAAGTCCCCAGAGGGCGGTGGCTCACGCCTGTAATCCCAGTACTTTGGGACGCCAAGGCAGGCAGATCACTCAAGGTCAGGAGTTTGAGACCAGCCTGGACAACATGGTGAAACCCTGCCTCCACCAAAAATAGAAAAATCAGCCGGGCATGGTGGCAGGCACCTGTAATCCCAGCTACTTGGGAGGCTGAGGCAGGAGAATCACTTGAATCCAGGAGGCAAAGGTTGCAGTGAGGTGAGATCATGCCACAGCACCCTAGCCTGGGCGACAGACTGAGACTCTGTCTCAAAAATAAATAAATAAAAGACGGCCGGGCGCAGTGGCTCACGCCTGTAATCCCAGCACTTTGGGAGGCCGAGGCAGGCAGATCATGAGGTCAGGAGATCGAGACCATCCTGGCTAACACAGTGAAACCCCATCTCTACTAAAAATACAAAAAATAAGCCAGGCGTGGTGGCACACGCCTGTAGTCCCAACGGCTGGGGAGGCTGAGGCAGGAGAATCGCCTGAACCCAGGAGGGGGGAGGTTGAAGTGAGCCAAGATCACGCCACTGCACTCCAGCCTGAGCGAGTGCTGTCTCAAAAAACAGAGCGAGACTCTGTCTCAAAAAATAAATAAAATAAAATAAAAGACAGACCCCAGAGGTCACAACTTGCTGATGTACCCTCTCTCACCTTCTGACACATCTCAAACACACCAACCATTCAAAAACCTCTATTAACAACCTCTTGCCAGTTTCAGTTCCAGTTGAAAAACCCCCAGACCTGCTAACCACATGAGGAGCTAAAAAGGAAGAAATGAGAAACTGCCCGGGGCCTGCAATCACACACCCCGGCATCCAGCCACAACCCTTGGTCAGCACACAGCCCGCCCTGCCCACAAGGGACAACAGGGCAGCGCTGGGCAGAGGCCCCACGCGACCGGGAGGCCACGTGAGCCCAAGCCCAAGGAGTGGCAGGGCTGGCGCTGAGGAAGGCTGCAGCCAGGGCCTGATCTAACACCATGGGCAGGGATGTGGGGGCTCCTGAGACCGCGGCATTGGAATCACTGTTTGACAAAAATAGAACACGTAGCCTGCACCTCCCTGGAAAGTCACCAAGGCTCTGACAAGGCTCAGAAGCTTAGGTGAGCACCAAAGCCCCACCTCCAGCTTCTAGGAGGACATGTGTCACAGGCAGAATCCAGAGTCAAACGTGCAGCAGCTGCTGTGTGCACAAGAAACCCCTTTCTGCCCCACGCCCGCCTCCTCTCCTCTTCTCTTTGGGGTGGCACGGTGAGCCTCGAGGAGGGACCGCCTGGGCCTCACTTATTCACTCAGGACCTCTCCTCACAGCAGCACTACAGACCCTGGACCGTTCTCAGAGGCCCTGCCAGCCTGCGCCACCCACGACGGCACACTGGCCTCAGTTTGCATGGTGGAGAGGGAGGAAAGCTGACGGCACACCGGGTTTGCATGGTGGAGAGGGAGGAGAGCTGACGGCACACGGGGTTTGCATGGTGGGGAGGGAGGAGAGCGGACGGCACACCGGATTTGCATGGTGGGGAGGGAGGAGAGCGGACGGCACACCGGGTTTGCATGGTGGAGAGGGAGGGAGGAGAGCTGACGGCACACCGGGTTTGCATGGTGGAGATGGAGGGCAGCTGACGGCACACCGGGTTTGCATGGTGGGGATGGAGGGCAGCTGACACAGCCTCTGCCTCAGGCGCTTGCTTGTCCAAGAAAGTATGCCTTCCTCACAGGGTCAAAGTACAAAGTCTGGGGAAAAGAGACTCAGCTCCAGAGAATCAGCAATAAACCAGGACAGCAGCGGCCAGGCGCTGGGAGGCCGGGCCAGCACGCAGAGGGCCTGGCACCCGCCTCACCTTCACAGAGAGGTCGGCCGCAAAGACCAGCAGGCAGAGCACCTCGACACTCTCGGTCAGGCCGCAGGGCGGCTCCCAGGGGGCAGCGCGATAGCGCACGTCCGCCGTGCTGGTGAGCGAGGATGGGGTCTCGATAAAAGCCAAAAACAGGATCAAGAAGATGGTGAAGCTCAAAGTCCTGGAAAGGGAACAGAAACATGACAACGCAGGAGTCGGCAGCCCTCGGGGCCCACAGGCTGATCAGGAGCTTCCCCGGTCCGAAGCGCGGGAGCTGGCGCTGCCTGAGCATGGACACTCGTGACTGGGGAGATCACGAACCTGCTCAAAGCTCCATTGCCGAGGGCTAACCCCAGCATTCCAGAAAGGAACCCTTGTTGTCGAAGGAGCCTTCCATCACAGGCCGTCTCCTTTCCAGAGAGGACGATGGTAACCGCCCTATCTATGTAACAGGGAGCCTGCCTGGACCCTGAGACCAGGTGATCCCCAGGTAGGGGCCAGCCTCCCCCGCCACGCAAGCCGGCAGGAACCGTGAGTTCCACATGGGTGCGTTCTCACCGTTGGCATACGTTCGAGTAATACCGTCGGTAAAGCCACATCGAGCTGGCATCCACCCGGTGATTGATGGAGCGGTACTGGAAGCAAAAAGTCACATGAGGCATGACAGGGGTACATGCAGGGTGGGCCGTGGCCCGAGCCCCACACCACACATGAGACAGGCCCAAGTCTCAGGCTGTGGATCACAGGGGACGCTTCAGCGTGTGGACATGGCCGGCCCTGACCCAGCAGGCCCACACCATCACAAACCATGAGGTTTGCCCAACACACAAGACCTCGCAGGCCACACACCCAGGGCGGGTGTGTGTGTGAGCAAACGCTCAGGGAGCACTTGCTGAGGGCACGGCCATGCCTGTGTCTGCCTGTGAGGCTCTCTCTTCTCTGTACAGGGCTGACCCTCCCATGCCCCGTGCAGCCGTGCCATCCTCCAAGACACCCCCACCCACCCAGGACCTAGAATGGGGTGGTCCCCAACAGGCCTCAGAACACAGTGCATCAAAGCAGCAAATGCGTCCAGGATGCAGAAAACAAGTTCTCCGGGGACTGACGGAGAGCCATGCCCAGAGGCTCCACCCTCGGTTCTCTTAAGCTACAGTCCAGCAACGGAGGCCTCGGCCCCAGTCAGTCTCCCCTGGAGGGGCGAGCCCGTTGGAGGGTGGCCACCCCCCAGGTCAGGCCACAGGGAGCAGGTGCCACCAACCTGAATAGCATCTTCGATGAAGACCACAGCCTGATCAATGCAGAGGTCCCACCTGGCCGCGGCACCTGCAGGCAGAGGGGGACATCAGGTGACCGAGCAGGATGACATGGCCTCACCCTCCAGGACACCCGGGATCGAGGAAAGATGCCGGCTGCGGTTCCTCCCAAGGCCATGTGTAAAGAGATGACTCCACCCGGCAGTGGGGCTGCAAGGGCCTGCCTGGGGCAGGGACCAAACCAAGTAAGTGCCCCGGCATCACATGCACAGGGCAGGCCCAGGGCACGGCGGCTCCACCTGCAGCACACACACCCAGCAAGCCCGTGAGAAGCAGCGCGTCCTGCAGGGCCCCGGCGCCAGACTCGGGGTTCAGAGCCCGGCTCCTCCACATGCTAGCAGGAAGGCTGTGGCTGGCTCCTCCTCTGCCAAGTGGGGCTATTCACAGCCACCCACTCGGCTCCCCAGAGGGTACTGGGAGGTGCAACGCAGGAGGGCCAGAGCCCCCTGCCACACTCCCCAAGCACGCTCGGTACACGGGGCTGCTGTCAGCCCTCTTCTGCTGGGCCCGACCCTGGCTCCTGCACAGCCTTCCTGAGCCAGGACACTGCACCCACTGTCCCACCCACCCCCATCAAACTAGACCTCAGATTCAACACCGACAGGGAGAACTGGCATCTAGAACCCGAAGGCACCGCCGTGAGGCTTCACGAGAGCTACCCAGGTTCCGTCCCCTCACTGTCCCGGCCCATGGGCCCAGGCAAGCTCACCCAAATCACTCCCAGGGTCAGAGCTTTGGGAACGCCCGAGTCCCCCAGCCTCTGCCGGTGCCTTCTGTGGTGAAGGGTGGCCACCCGCCTTTACCAACAGCACAAGCAGGGTGGAGCCTCCCGACAGGCCTGGGCAAAGGCGGCAGTGGCTCCTGACTAGGAGGGGCCTTCAGGAAAAGTCAGGCGGCACAGAAGCCAAGGCCCAGCATCCTGGCCTGCTCACAAGCCTCTCGCCTGCCATGGAGCAGCCAGCGGGCACACCTGGTCAGTCACTGAGCCACTGCGGGAGGCCCGGGCCACCCACCCGCATCGCAGGCACATGCCACCTGTGTGGCCTCGCTGCAGAGCTGCTCCTCAGCAGGCCAAGGGAAAAGCAACGCTCAACCCGAAGCAACTGAGGAACCCGGAGAGGCTGACACTTCCCAGCCCGGGGAGAGGGCGAAGCAGCTGCCTTTTCAGATGAGACTCGGCTTTTACACCTGGCCCCTTGGGGCCCACAGCTGCACCAAGACAATGTGGTGACACGGGAGGCAGCAGCAGAGGCCTCGGGAGGTGCTGGTCCCCAGGCAGAGGTCCAGGCCATGACCCGCCCACTCTGTTGGCCATCCCTAGGGAGGCAGCTGCCCCGTCCTCCGGGCTCCTGCTTGGGGGCATGAGGTAGAGGCAGCTGGGCCCCAGACGGATTAGAGATGTGGGGGTCCCAGACAGAGGCAAGAGACCGGAACCCCACTGGCTCTGCCCGGCCTTGCTGCACTGCCAGAAGCAAGAGCCTTCCCTCCCTGCGGCTTTGGTACCCACGTGCACAGCCACAAGACCCACCCTGAGGACAGCCGAATGTCTCCCCAGGGAAGCTCTGAAAGTGGCTACTGTTTATGTACCCTGAGCACATCCTGGGATCGCTGTGAACAGAAGCCACACTGTTTTGTTCCCTGCTGTATCTGCAGAGCCCAAAACTCAAGCACATAGGACTCAAAGCTGATTTATCCCATGAATAAATGAACAGCCCCGAGGGGAACCTGGGGGGCAGGTGATCTGAAAGGCCCCACCTTACCAAATTCCCTGGGAGAAGATAGAATCTCTACCATGAGAGATCTAGTGATACAAGTTTCTTAGACAAGAGACAAGCTGCCCAGTTCCAGGGCTCACTCCAACCCCAGGACCATGGAAAGTGCTCACATCCACCCAGGCCAGCCATCCCGGGCCAACAGTGGTGGGCACCCCTGGAACCATCCCGCACTTGTCCTTCCATTTCGCCTGGCTTTTTGGTTGCTGGTTTATAAAATTCTGGGTCTGGCCATCCTCCGTTTCACCCTGCAACAGCCCGAGAATCTTGCTCCAAACACTCAGAAGCACATCACGGCTTCCCCTGGGTCCCCACTATTCCAGGCCCACACTCCACCCTGGCCTGGCACTGCAGGTTCCCACATTTGCCGGCCCGCTCCTCTCCTGTCTTTCAACCCTCCGTGCCACTCATTCTGAACTTGGCTCTGCCAAGGCCATGCTCTCCAAAGCCTCCCACCCTTTACTCAGGTTGCAGCTTCTGCCAGGAGCACCATCCCCCACTGTGTGGGTCCAGGAACTCCCTTGGGGCAGCTCGCCCCGCCCTGAGCTCATTACCCTGGAGGGCAATCACCTGTCCACATGCCATCACCCTACGGGGGGCTGGAGGGTTCTGCAGGGCACAGAGGACAACAGGGGCTGAGACGCTGCATCCAGCACACCAGGCCTTGACACGGCTTCCTAACCCAAGCCTCTGCCCCGCAACATCCAGGTCTGAGCTCCCGCTCCCCTCTTGCTCCAGGCTCCAGGCTGCACAACCTGTGTAGAGTCCTGACCAGCATCCTGTGTGACCCTGGGCAAGTGCCTTAACCTCTCGGTGCTCCAGGTCCTCGTGGACCCCCACCCAGGAGGAGCTAAGTACAGACTGAATGACTTACCATAGCCAGAGTACTTTGCTAAGTGAGCCCTTCATAAGCACTCAGTTACTCTGAAAGCCTCTAGAGCATTGTAATCCCTTGTCCTCTTTTTTGATAATCAGTAAAAGTGTGATTTTCTGACCCAGAAACAACAGAAAACAACTGTCCTCAACCTTTGACCTCGGCCCTGTCAGGTGGGGCAAAGTCAAAAGGACCCGACAGCAGGGTCCACTGGGGTCCTCGGGGCACCCACAGCAGCAGCCCCCCACCACCCGTTGGCAAGAGACCAACCACAGGACTTGCGAACCAGAGCACAGGGCCTTCATTTCAAAGTCTGGCACAGGCCCTGGCACTGAGACTGAATGAGCCTTTGGGAGTCTCCATGGCTCCATAGTCTACCAGTCTTGCTGGGGACCCTGGCCAAGGAGATTCGGAACACAGAGCGTCCTGTCCACGTTCTCAGAAGCCCTGGCTGAGGCCACAGCAGAGGGACAAAGAGCGCTCCCTGAGAGCCTCCTCTCATCAGCCACACTGCCCAGCAGAGCAGGTCTCACCTGCCAGGGCCAGGACCTGCAATGATCACGGTGCTTACCCAGGATGGCCACTGGCCCCCACCCCAGTCCATCAGGCCCTCTGCTGAGGACAAACTCTGGATGCTCTCTGAATGCCCACAAGGCAGTCCCTAGTATTATCTCCCTTTTACTGAGATTCAGAAAGGTTAAGCAGGGCCAGGCACGGTGGCTCACGCCTGTAATCCCACCACTTTGGGAGGCCGAGGCAGGCAGATCACCTGAGGTCAGGAGTGTGAGCCCAGCCTGGCCAACATGGTGAAACCCCATCTCTACTAAAAATACAAAAATCAGCCAGGCGTGGTGGCGGGCGCCTGTAGTCCCAGCTACTTGGGAGGCTAAAGCAGGAGAATCACTTCAACCCAGCAGGTGGAGGCTGCAGTGAGCCGAGACTGCACCACTGCACTCCAGCCTGGGTGACAAAGTGATACTCCGTCTCGGGGAAAAAAAAAAAAAAAAAAACCAGAAAGGTTAAGCAACTGCCAAGGCCACACAGCCAGGGTAGCCCCAGAAAGGCACCCAGAATCCTAGACACAAAGTCTGTGTTCCCTGAACGCTGCCATATGCTGGGCGTCTCATCAAGGGGCCTGCCAGAGCTGCTCCCTGCAGATCTCCCTTCTGACTGGTCCCAGGAAGCCCCTGAAGAACTTCCTGGAGGCAGCTTCTGAGATGAGCAGACAGGGTGGCCACCTCAGTCTCTGGTTTTCCATCTCTTGTCAGGGTCCCCTCCTTGGCCCCCCATTACTCCATGGATGGGCATATGTCACCGACAGTGGGTGGCACCAGTATTCCAACCCAGTTCCTTCCAGACACAGCAGGAAAGGAAAGACAGGCCAGAGAGGGAAGCGGCCAGGTGTGAATTCTCAGAGTGATTCGAGCAGCAGCCGCACCAGCACAGAGGGCTGTGACCTTGGGCAGGTCTCAGGGCCTCTCTGGGCCTCAGTTTCCTCATCTATAAAGTGAAGCTAAGGTCCTTCCACCTCTAATCCAGAACCTAATTCCCCTGGTGTCAGCGAGGGGCGGACACACCCCACCCTCGGGGGATTCAGCAATCTTCAGACCAGGACAAAAAACAGGAACGGCAGGAGGGAGTGGGGAGGGGGCTCTGGGCTGGCAGAGAGCAAGGCGCGGAAGCCGTCACTGTTTAGGGGGCCCACCCCAGCCCCACAGGACGTGGGACAGGGAAAGGCACCCTACAAAGAAAGGACTCCTAGCTCCCAGCTGGTTCGAATCCCACCTCTGCCACTTACTGGCTGTGTGACCTTGGGTAGGGTAACGCCTCTCTCTGAACCTCTGCTTTTCCCAGAAGAAACGGGAAAAATCAAAGTGCTGCCTTCTCTGAGCCAATCAGGCGACCCTCGGGAAGTATGGGGTCTGGGCCCGCCTGGGCACACGGAAGGTGCCTGCCTGCCGCAGGGGGCCGGTTCCCTCGGGGTTGCCCACGGCTGGGCGAGGGCCTCTCCGCTCGGCTGGTCGGAATGAGGAAGCGACACGGAAGCGATCCTAGCTCTGCCCTGACCCCGGTCCGGGTCCGCAGGACGCAGCCCACTCGCCCTCAGAACACCGGCTCCCCTGGCGCCCGGCGCGGCCCGGGCTCCGCTCGGACTCGAACCTGTTGGGGGCGCGCCCGGCGCGGCCCGGGCTCCGCTCGGACTCGAACCTGTTGGGGGCGCGCCCGGCAGGACGCTGGGTGCTGCGACAGCGGGACCCCCACGCGCGACCCCGGTCTCCCGGGCCAGTCCCCTCCCCGGGTCCGGGCGGCTCACCAGGGCCGACTTGGATGCTGCGGCAAGTGGTCAGCCCCGCCGGGCAGTCGCTGCCACCGCCGCGGGCCCGGCCCAGCAAGGGCTCCGACTCCGCCCGGGATTCCGCCATCCGGTAGCCCGCACGCGGGACCCGACCCTTAGAAACTCAAGCCCCAAGAGCTCCCAGCTCCACTGCGCAGGCGCAGAGACCCCCGCCCCAGGCGTTCTGGCGGGGGAGCGCACGGCACTGTGACGCAGGGGATCCCTGCACTCCCAGCCAATGATAACCGGGCCAACTGCGTAGGGCGGAGCTTAAAGGGCCCCGCCCCTCTGGGGTGGAGCTCAGCTTCCTTCCACCCAGGGCGGGGCAGCGCTCTGGGGCTGAAGGGCCCAGTGCTGGGGAGGAAATACGTTCTCAAAGGATTGTCTTTACGGCCAGAAGCTTCAGCATCACCTGGAAACATTTTAGAAATGCAAATATTTGGGCCCTTCTAAACCTACTGCATCAGCACCTCTGCGGGCAGCACCCAGGAATCTGTGTTTTAACAAGCATTCGGGGTGATTCTGATGCATGTGAATATTGAGTACCTGGGGTGACTGCAAAGGACTCCCCCAAGAATGGAACTGGAGTTTACCCTCTGATAGTGAAATTAGGAGGATTCAATATAATTAAGGGAAGAGTTTAAAAACACATGACACACTTAAAAAACAATTACAACATATATAAAAAGTGTTTTCAACATTAATGCATTAAAGACCTTGTATTCGTTTTCTATTGCTACAGTGAGAAATTAGCACAAACTTATAATATAAAACAACTCCCATGCATTATCTTTCAGTCCTGCCGGGCAGGAAACCAGCAGCTCGACTGGGTCCCTGTCTCAGGGCCTCACAAGGCTAAAGTCAAAATGTCAGCTGCCGTGGGCTCTTATCTGCAGACTTGGGAAAGCCCACTTTCCAGGCTCATCCAGGATATTAACAGAATTGTGTCCATGGGCCTAGGACTGAAGCCCATGTCTTCTTGCTGGATGTTGGCTGGTGTCATTCTCAGCTCCTAGAGGCCACTGCATTCCTTCCACAATGGCTTGAACACCTCCATCATCAGAGCCAGCAAGCAAGAGCACACTGAAGATGCTTCAAGATGTAGCAAGATGCCTGTAATCCTAGCCCTTTGGGAGACCGAGGCTGGTGGATCACGAGGTCAGGAGATCGAGACCACCCTGGCCAACATGGTGAAGCCCTGTCTCTACTGAAATTACAAAAAAATTAGCCAGACGTGGTGGCACATGTCTGTAGTCCCAGCTACTTGGAGGCTGAGGCAGGGGAATCGCTTGAACCCGGGAGGCGGAAGTTGCAGTGAGCCAAGATTGCACCACTGCCCTCCAGCCTGGCGACAGAGCGAGATTCCATCTCAAAAAAAAAAAAAAAAAAAAAAAAAGATGCTGCAAGATGCTTCTCTGTGACTTCCTCTTCTGCTACATCTCTTTGTTTTCTCCCCCGCTTTTGGGGTGGGGGAAGAGGGTTTAAAATAAATATAACATAAAATGTACCGTCATAACTGTGAAAGGAAAATAAATCTGAGGACCCCAAAGTCACTAAGCCAAAGGGAAAAGTCAAGCTGGGAACTGTGTTGGGCAAACCTGCCTCGCCTTTTGTTCTTTAATAAAACAGCTACAAAGATATAAAAAGCCACATACCTCCCTCACAACTTGCCCACTAGGAAATTTTTTGTGGGCCCCAAGAAGTTTACCCTAAAACGGTTCTGTTGAATCTTGCCGTGACAATGTAAATTGGTAGCTGGTCTTCACAGGTTCCGAACAAAGGATGGAACTCTTAAGTCATCCCTCTGCTCGCCTGATTGCTTCCTCTGGTGTAAAAATGCAGATTCACTGAGCCAGACTAAGGCATAAGTGACTATTCATCTACCCCCGCAACCTGTAAATTGTGTATTTCAGTGAAAGGCTGATCAAAGACTCAAAAGAATGCAACCTTTGTCTCTTATCTCTGCATGTATTTTTAAAATTTTTCCCTCTTTCCCAATATCCACCCTTTCCCTTTTTTTTTTTTTTGTTTTTTTTTTCTTTTGAGACAGAGTCTTGCTTCGCTGCCCAGGCCATGGTGCAGTGGCGCAATCTCAGCTCACTCAGCAACCTCCACCACCACACCCGGCCTCTTTCCCCTTTAAAGATTGAAGTCCTACAAATCATCCTCCGAGGAAAGCATAGACCTGCCTCCCAGGCACTCCTTAACCTTGGCAAAATAAACTTACTAAATAGATTGAGACCTGTCTCAGATATTTTTAGTTCATGAAACTATATTTAAGTGTACAGCTCATTGATATTAAATACGTTAATGATGCTATGCAACTATCACCTCCAGCTCCAGAGCTCTTTTCATCTTGCAAAACTGAAATTCTGGACCTGTTAAGCACTGACTCCTCACTCCCCCAGCCCTTGGAAACCACCGTTCTCCTTTCTATACCTACGATTTTGACAACTCTAGGTTCCTCATATAAGTGGAATCCTGCAGTATTTGTTCTTTTGTGACTGGCTTATGTCATTTAGCCTAAAATCCTCAAGGTTCATCCATGTAGCATGTGTCTGAATTTCCTTCCTTTTTAAGGTTGAATAATACCCCACTGTATGTATCCATGACATTTTGCTTATCCATTCATCCATGGATGGGCACTGACTTGCTTCCGCCTTTTGACTGTAGTGAACAATGCTGCTGTGAACATGGATGTAGAAATAATTTGTCAAGACTCTGCTTTCAGGCCAGGTGCGGTGGCTCACACCTGTAATCCCAGCACTTCGGGAGGCCGAGGCAGGCGGATCACCTGAGGTCAGGAGTTTGAGACCAGCCTGACAAACTTGGTGAAACCCCCATCTCTACTAAAAATACAAAAATTAGCCGGGCATGGTGGCGGGCGCCTGTAATCCCAGCTACTCAGGAGGCTGAGACAGGAGAATCGCTTGAACCTGAGAGGCAGAGGTTGCAGTGAGCCAAGGGCTCGTATGATTATGTCAGAGGCATTCGAACCAGAGCGACTCCATCTTGAGTGAGGACTAGGAAAAATGAGGCTGGGACTTGCTACAACTCCATCTTGAGTGAGGACTAGGAAAAATGAGGCCGGGACTTGTTGATCTGCATTCCCAGAAAGTGAGGCATTCCCGGCCTCTAGATGTTCACAATTAAGGGAACAGATTGATAATGTTTACTAAATAGACCTAGACTTGGGAGTGTCCTGATATCCTGATATCTTGAGAACAGAAGCATTCCTAATTTTGCTTTAAAGAGAATAATACCGATCCTTGCAAAATACAGTAATTAAGAAAATTCTTTATCACAAACCCTGTTAGCAGAACACATGTCCTCATGATCTTTGATCTTTTATCATCCTATATATAAAGGAGTGTTGTACCTAGGGCGGATGCGTTCCTCCTTACTTTCCGGAACATCCTAACTCTGTCTATGGAGCAGCTGTTCTGTCACCACTTTACTTTCTCTTTTTTTTTTTTTTTTTTTTTTTTGACAGTCTCGCTCTGTTGCCCGGCTAGAGCGCATTGGCACCATCTCGGTTCACTGCAACCTCTGCCTCCCAGGTTCAAGTGATTCTCCTGCCTCAGCCTCCTGAGTAGCTGGGATTACAGGCACCCGCCATCACACCTGGCTAATTTTTGTATTTTTAGTAGAAACGGAGTTTCACCAGTTTGTCAAGCTGGTCTCAGACTCCTGACCTCAGGTGATCCACCTGCCTTGGCCTCCCAAAGTGGCAGGATTACAGGCGTGAGCCACTGCGCCTGATCTTTTTTTTTTTTTTTTTTTTTTTTTTGAGACAGAGTTTCACTCCTGTCCCCCAGGCGGGAGGGCAGTGGCGCGATCTCAGCTTACTGCAACCTCCACCTCCTGGATTCAAGCGATTCTCTTGCCTCAGCCTCCCAAGTAGCTGGAATTACAGGCACACGCCATCACGCCCAGCTAATTTTTGTGTTTTTAGTAGAGGCGGGGTTCACCATGTTGGTCAGGCTGGTCTCGAACTCCGACTAGGATCCACCGCCAGCCCCCAAGTGCTGAGATTGCAGGCACGAGCCACCGCACCTAGCCTACTTTACTATCTTAATAAACTTGTTTTTGCTTTGCACTGTGGACTTGCCCTGAATCCTTTCCTGCGGGAGATCCAAGAACCGTCTCTTGGGTTCTAGACCAGGAATTCTTTCTGGGAACAGTTACACTGGGCTCATCAGATAATCCAGGATGATCTCCCTAATTTAAGATCAGCTCATTAGCAACTTCAGTTGTGTCTACAAAATCCTTTTTGCCATCTCATCTAACACAACCATGGGCAGGACACCAGGAGTGAAGACCATGGGTGCCAAACTTCTGCTTCCTGCAGAGCCTTTAAAATCCCATAAATTCAGCCTTAAATTCCGCATATGGGAAAAGACTTGAACCAGAAGTTCCCAAGAAAGAGGAAATATCAATGAGGAACGCCTGAAATAAAGCTCCATCTCATTAGGCTACAAAGGGATGCAAATTAAAGTAACAATGAAATCACTGAACTCCTAAGTCAGCACATGTTTAAAAGATGACACAGCTCTGAGGAACAGAGTGGAGTTGAGAGAGATCCCAGGATGTGGCCACAGGTTTGAGTTTTGTTCTTTGTCTGTTTTTCGTTTGTTTTTTTGTTTGTCTGTTTTTTGTTTTTTTAACAAGGAACATACATTTTAAAACGTGAAAAGAAGTATAAGATATTTTTATTTCAAACAAAGGAAATAATAGATGCATGCAGCTCTCTGCAAAAACAGCACATCTCAATGAGTTGTCTTGATTGCCACTAAAGAATTCCCTTGATGTTTGGGTACACAGCGCCAGAGGCCCTTGTGGAATGTGGTTCCCAGTAAGCAGTTACACCATGTGGAGCGTGATGCAGGAGGGAGCTCAGAAGGGGCAGAAAAAAACGATGGGGGCAGGACCCAGCGAGGTCCCGCAAGAGGGAGCTGAGACTGAGATGGCAATGTCCTGCCGCTGGCACAGCCAGAATGGGGCGCGGACGGATGGCATCTGGGCTGCGTCCCTCAGCGGCGTTCAGTGAGTCTGTTGCCACGTACTGACGGGTGTCGGGAGGGAGAGCACCATCCTCACAGCAGCCTGGCAGTCACCGTTTGTGGGTGTTCTGGGCCCTGGCTTAAGGACCGGTCACCCAGGGAGCAGTGCTAGCCTGGGAGTAAAACTAGAGAGACACAGCCAGGCACGGTGGCTCACACCTGTAATCCCAGCACTTTGGGAGGC